GAGAGTCGGGCTGATTCCAATGGAATGAAGTTCAACAAGGCCAAGTGCTCGGTCCTGCACTTTGGCCACAACAACCCCTGCAGCGCTACAGGCTGGGGACAGAGTGGCTGGAGAGCAGCCAGGTGGAAAGGGACCTGGGGATGCTGATCGACAGGAGGCTGAACATGAGCCAGCAGTGTGCCCAGGTGGCCAAGAAGGCAAATGGCATCCTGACCTGGATCAGGAACAGTGTGGCCAGCAGGAGCAGGGAAGTGATCCTTCCCCTGTAGTCAGCACTGGTGAGGCCAAACCTTGAGTATTGTGTTCAGTTCTGGGCCCCTCAGTTCAGGAAGGACATTGAGGTGCTGGAGCGGGTCCAGAGAAGAACAACTAGCCTGGTGAAGGGACTTGAGCACAAGTCCTATGAGGAGAGGCTGAGGGAGCTGGGGTTGTTTAGTCTGGAGAAGAGGAGGCTCAGGGGAGACCTCATCACTCTCTACAACTACCTGAGAGGAGGTTGTAGCCAGGTGGGGGTCGGTCTCTTCTCCCAGGCAACCAGCAGTAGGACAAGAGGGCATGGTCTCAAGCTCTGTCACAGGGGAGATTTAGGTTGGATATTAGAAAGAAGTTCTTTCCAGAGAGAGTGATCAGGCATTGGAATGGGCTGCCCAGAGAGGTGGTGTATTCTCCATCCCTGGAGGTTTTTAAGACGAGGCTGGATGTGGCACTGAGTGCCATGATCTGGTAATCATAGGGGAATTTGATCAAGGGTTGGACTTGATGATCTTAGAGGTCTCTTCCAACCCAGTTAATTCTATGATTCTATGATTCTAATAAGATGGTACTATTGAAGTTTCTGTTGGAGATATACACTTGAGATCAATCTAGTTTTTCCTTTCATGCCTTGGTGTGCCTTACAGAAATGTGCTGGTTATAATGTTAATGAGGCTAAACTGAATAGTATCACAAATGTAAAAGGAGTTCCAGAGTATCATTCCAAAAGGAAATAAAATTATCTTATAACTGAACTAAAAAAAGTAAGAAGATAAAAATATTTGTTAGGATTAATCAACTGTTGAATTAGGAGATAAGAACAAGTCTGTTTATCAGCTAATGGTTCATCAACTACAAATACAGAGGAGGAAGACAGGCAGCAGGGACTTAATTTATCTCAGAGTAATTCTGCCAATGGGCATCATATACTGCAAAGTTGTTCTTTGATATGTTCTAGGCAGTGAAGAGCTACAAGCTGAGAAAGACCTCTGGTGAGATGGGCATTTCAGTCCAGATATGGAAATGAAATAATTCAGTAATGTGGTTCTTGGATCAAAGTTGCATCGTTCCCTGCCAGCTCAATATGTAGGCAAATGGTCTTATGTCTGTCCAAGATACACAGTGGTGACAGTCCCGGTGTGATTTTGTCTGGGGAGGGAACTAAAAAAACAAACGAGCAAAGGAAATTGTGAGGAATTTTTTGCCTGTTGAAAGAAGAAATACTGTTTTTGTAACAGTAAAATAGTAGCAGTTTCAAGATGAAATTCATTCAATTTGAAGATAATATTATACACCATGGTGGCCACATGACAAGATACTTCATGCCTTGTGTTCCTGTGTGTACCTGTTCAACACTGAGTTTGTTTGTGTAAGTATCTGGAGGGTTGGTGCATACACATTACTTCACTGTCATCATCTTAACTATGGCATGTAAGAAAAGGCAGAAATACAAATTTAAAATATACCATTGTCCTTCTGTAGATGATGGTGGTTGTAGAAATCACAATAGGCCTTTATAAGTTATTTTGCAGAAATGGAAGATTTAGAGTCAGTTGACTCTTTGATTATTAATAAAATGGTTTTTTTTTTTTTTGAGAAATAGAAACAAAATAACTCTTCTTGTTCCTCAGGGATTTCCAGAAGTTATTTGATTAGATAGGGGACTTCTGGCAGGACTAGATTATCATACTCTGCTGGGTATTTGGGTGGGAGTTTTCTACATAGAAAGAGAAAAACGTGATGCAACTAAGTTGTGAAATGCCTCAAAGGTGAGTTTTATATTGTATTTAATATAGAAAAGGAAAGCTGCCGGAACAAGGAATTAATTTTGAACAAATACATGGAGATCTCAGTAAGAAAGTTTGGAATCTGAAGTGGACATATGGTTTAGGAAATGCAATTTGTGGGGAATTTTGATGAAAATTTGAACAACATGGATTAAAAATGTGAAGATCCTTTTTCAAACGTGTTCTGGAGTAAAAAGAGACTCTATTTCGACTCAACTGACATGTACTGGCCTGTAAAGAGAGGGCAGTGGGACCAGTAAAAGGTAGTATCTCTCTTGTGGAACAGGGGAAGAAAAGACTAATTGGAAAACAAAACCGTGAGAGCTGCATAAAGAATAATCCTCTGCTTCAAATTAAATTTTTGGGTGGGGAGCAAGCCAATGTGCACATTAAATTAAGGTAGTTATTTAGAGTAATTTCTCGACTGATTTTTGGTTTAGTATCTTCCATAGATTTATTTTTACAAATTCTACATGCATTAAACTTTGTTGGGTCCAAAAGATAATCTTGCATTATTTTATGTCAAAAGTACCGTCGTACTTAGGACATTTAAATACTCTATTGATTCTTTGATACCAATCTAGAGCTATTAAAATTTGTAATTGCAGCTGTCCTCAGAAAGGAAATATCCAATTACTATAGTGGAATATTTGAATGCCATGTTCTACCTGTGTTTCCTCCTTTTATACAAGCTGAACTACTTTTTTTTTCCCTGCAAGGTTATTGAAAAAATGAATTTATATTAAGGACATTTATGTACTGCAAAATGTTACTTAGAAGACTTTTATATATTTTAATTTTTTTCTGTCCCCTATTTATTGCCTTTTTTTTTTTTTTCCCTCGAGCTGTAGGCTTTATTTGTGGAGTTATATTTATCTCCAGAAGAAACTACAAGTGGCAGAGTCATCCATTATATGAGATCAGCTCTGTCATATCAGAGAATCATATTATAGAATGGTTTGGGTTAGAAGGGACATTAAAGATCTGTGTCTAATACCACCATCTGATAGCTCTCTGGGCCATGAGATGTGTCCCTGATTATTTTGTTGTACTGTCAAAACTGTCCCAAATACTCCCATTTCTCTTCCAGGGAAGGTGTTGCAGAGGCAAGGGCTAAGTCCTTTTATTTAAGAAAGGATCACTGGTAAAGATTTTGCTCTGCCGTTTTCCATCCTTTACTGGGATAATACCAGGCTAATTTTCAGGGAGTTGCTCTCACCAGTCCTACTTACCTGCAGTTTTAGAATGGAGCAAATACTAGAAGTCGTGCAATTTTACCTGTAATCAAGGGAGTTTGGTACTGAGGGACTGATAAACTTGTCTTCATTGTGATCAGACTTCTAGTGTTTTGTGATCATCAAATATGCAATTATAATTTGCAGAACATTATGTTTCAAGAATTACAGTTGATTTAATGATCATAAATAGAGTTGAGGTAGGAAGTTCTTAACTGGCAGGGCAGTTTGAGTTCAGGAATTAGTCTGTTACCAACACAGAGATTCTTTGAATTGTCTGGGAATTTTATTTTGTCTTCTGCCTCTGAACCTATAGTACTTTATAAAAATAAAGATTTCTGCACCTTCCATTACTTCACAGTCACATTTTTTTCTCCTTTGACGAGTGTTCAAATACTGTTATCAGGAATTGTTTTATCAGAATTATTCCTAAGAGTTTATAATTTGAATATAGGATGTTGGACTGGGATTAAGGCAGTGTGTGACTTTTCTTTCTTTTGCTTTCATTATTTATGAATTAAAAAATCACAGTGCAGAAGGAAAAAAGGGAGGCATAAATATCAGAGCATGGAACTCTTTCTGGTATTCAGTTTTCATTTCATTATACGTGAAATTCTGTAGCACCTGATTTTACCTTACATTCTTGCATTTTAGTTCTTTTATAAATGGAGTATATTGTTAAAAAATAATTAAATCCTCCAAGGGTATAATTGGTCAAGTTCTTGTTGTTAGTAGATTTTCAGTTGTATGCAAATGATACAACCTACAGTCACAAAGCAAGCTAAAGATAGAGCTAGGGTTTGTGGGTTTTTTCCCCAGGTCTTTCTATTCCATATATTTCTGCAGAAGGAAAATCAGCTGCAAATTAGATATAAATATTAAAACATATAGTTCAAAAAAGAAATGCAATCAAGCAGACAGTGTGGCACAACTGAGAAAAAATATTGTTTGAAGCTTCTTGTTTTAAAAACTGTAGATACTGAATCACAGTTTAAGTTTTGTATACATCAGTAATTTAAATATCTGCATTTTGACACATTATCTTCTGAGTTAACAAAAATTAAGATCAGTTTGAAAGGAGTTGATGAAAGTATCCAGACTGCAGTAAAGAGGACTGTAGAGTAAAAACTAGTTATAAATTATGTGCAGAGAGTTGGGGATCTTAATTTCAATTTCTAAAGGTTTTACTGTAGAAAAATTATACTTTACTGTTTATTAGCAATTACATTCTACAACAAATTTGATTTAATCAGAAGAGAGTCCTTTTTTATAATAAAATTTTCTGCTTGCATATCCTTCATAATATCCTCAGCACAAGCTGGGACAGAAATCTCACAGGTTTGAAGGCTGCATTTGGTCAGCTAGATAGGCCTTATATCCTCAGCTAAGCCAACAGGACCTACTTGTGGTACTCTCTCTTTTCTGAGAGACATTTGTTTCATGTCTTCTAAAAACATCAGCTTGAAAAATTAGAATCCTTAGTCTGAAAATTACTGCATCTGTTCGGCTGTCAAATCAGGGTCTTAAAAATGAAAAAGTATTGCTGTGCTCCTAAATTTTAGACTGAATAGTTTCATGACATATGGGGGTTTAAAACTGTCTTTTGCTGAGAGGAATTGCTGCTTATTCACTGTTTAAACAATGGGTTAAACACGTTTACTGTGAAATCCTGTTTTCAGAAACTTTATGGAAATTAAATGTCTCCTTGCACTTTTCTGTCTCGTAGGTTTGACTCTGACACAACAGAGCTCCACAGTTGGATGACCCGCTCCGAAGCCGTGCTTCAGAGTCCCGAGTTTGCAATCTTTCGAAAAGAAGGCAATCTCTCAGATCTCAGAGAACGAGTCAATGTAGGAGAAAGTGCTTGTATATACGTCTGTTAGTCTGTGTTAGCTTTTCAAAGGGCTTTCAAAGTTCAAGTGGGTTCAAATGTAAACTGGCAAGCATTGATCGTCCAAGATAAATCTAGAAGTGCTCACTTTTTCTGTGAGTTTCAGGTTTTGACACCAAAATTGCTAACTAGGCCGTGTAAATACATAGAATATTTTGTTGCTGTTCATACATATTCATATTTAATTAAGGTATTCTAGATTTATGAAATTCTTAGGTAAAGTTAAATCAAAACATATATATCATTTCTTAAATATGCATCATCATTCTTTACTAAGAACTTAATTAGATACCACCTATGCATAAATTGAAGGTGAAAAATGTCACTAGTGTATGCTAAAGAAAATCTATATCTATTCCCTTTTACAGTGCTGTAAAATATCTATGAAAATCACCAGCCTCCACAGGTTTTTTTGTGGGATTTTTTTTTACTCTATTTTACTTGCCTGAATCAAAAACTCTTCTTGCCAGAATTAATGGTTCTGCATTGCTTAAGGAGTAGCTGTGTTTGTGTATACGTGTTAAAGTCTGAATGACTGGATTTAGCCCTTGAAAACTAAATCATTACACATTTTCTTCCTTATTTATTTTTTGTAGAGCAGTGAAAAAATGCCTATCTTTTCCAAGTAAGAGAAAGGGGATTTCTTTTTTATGGTTAACTCTTATAGTAAAATAGTATATTATGGAACTTCATTAAAACATATGGTGATAAAAACTCCTAGAATACCAACAGAAGGAACAAGTTACTGTATTGAAGTTAGTTTTGCTGCTTTTTTTTCCTCATTGTCTGTTTGTCCATCATAAATCAGCTAAGATAAGATTAAGGAACATGGAGTTTTGTGATTTTAAATATAAATTTTAAAATTTCATGTTAAATCATAGTTTTCCTGAAATATTTTAGTTGTTAATATTGTCATAATATTACTGCTGGAAAATACCCATTAAAATTTAATATACTGAGTTTAGTTCATGCCACCACTTCATATTACATTAAATATACATAAATACATATATATATATATGCAAAATGGATTAAATATACAGAGTAGACTTGATGAGTTCAAGTGCTTCCATATTGAGTTAATGGGATTCATGTAATATATAAATAGATATACAGTTAATTTTCTGAGTTCTTCAATCTTCATTGTAGGTTAAATTGAAAAAAAAAATGGAAAAAATAGAAACAAAATATTCATCTCCCTTTCATATATTCCCACCTTGAGGAACATATACTTTTCAAGGATGGATATTAGCTCCTCTTGGCCTACGTATTACACTGGATACCTGCACTGTCAGATTTCCCTAACCAGCATGATGTTCCACCTCATATTGTCTGTTTCTAACACTTTATAAAAGCTTTAAAGCATCCAGAAGCCATGGTTCACCTTCCTTCTACTTCCCTTTCTTTGCTTGTGAGTAGGTGGTGATCACTGCAGGTAAAGGGGTGGAGGCAGCTGAACCACAGCCCCTCCTTTACTCCCAGCTGGAGTTCCCACTAGCTCTTGCCTTACCTCTGCTGGTGCTGAGAGAGAACATTGGGGCTGGGAAGCCACTGCCTACCACATTTGTTCAGGTCTCGTTTCAGTTGCTGAAAACATATATAAAACTGGAGGAAGAAGTATGGTGTTTGACCAGTGCATGAGCATTGTAAGTTTGAATTCAAGACACTCCGAATAGCAGGAGATAGCAAAGATGTTCCTTTGACCTCTCTGGAAATCAAATAACTGAACTGCCAAGAGACCAATTTCCAGATTTTTTCAGTAAAGTAGTGCAGAAAAGGATCTGTGTTGTATCAGGAGCAGTGTGAGACAAGCCAATAATTCTAAATAGATATAAGAAAAATCAATGTGTGTCCGTTAACATTGAAAATATTTTTAAAGACCAAGAGTGGTTTTAATTTCAAAAGATGTCACTGCGTTTTAAATGAACATATTTATTGAGAAAATCAAGTTACATTTAGAAGTTTTTAAGTATTCTAAGGGAGAAAATCTTTTCATTACATGTATTCATTTATTAGAGAGAACTCAGAAAGATGGCACTTGACAAGTACTACATGGATTCTGTGTTGAGTGCTTTTCAGTTAGTGGAAGTCCTTGTACGCGTTTTTTAAAAACTTGTAAAAAACAAGTTTTTATAACTGCCAGCTTTTAAAAATTGTCCTGACTTGACTTTTCCTGGTCTTGTCTCTGTCTCCATCCATAAAATTATAGCCTAAGCAGAAAGTACTCTTCAGTTCATTGATGCTTGCTAAAACTTTTCCTTTCAATTCCCTCAAAATAAGCTTCAAATCATTGGAAAATAAGATAGTGTGGGTTTTAACATATTATAATCTCTAGTAAAGTTTAAGAAGGCATATAAAGAAAAGATGAAATGCAAAAAAAGGAAAACATATGTCAGTGATAGTTAAAATAGATTTTATTGTACTGTTGTGCTTTAAACCCAGCTGGCAACTAAGCACCACACAGCTGCTTGCTCACCTCCCACCCCCAACCCTGGTGGATGGGGAGGAGAATCAAAAGTAAAACTTGCAGGTTGAGATAAGAATAGTTTATTAATTGAAATGAAGTAAACATAATAATAGTAAACAATAATAATGATAATAAAAAGAGAAAAAAAAAAAGTCAACAAACAACTGATGCACAACACAACTGCTCACCATTGGCTGACCAAGGCCAGACCCCATCCCTGAACTCGAACTGGCCCCCCTTCCAGGTAACTCCCCCAGTTTACACACTGAGCATGACATCCTGTGGTGTGGAGTATATTTTTGGCCAGTTTGGATCACCTGTCCTGTCTATGCTCCCTCCCGTCTTTTCTGGGACTTTTTATGTATCTCCTCACTGGCAGAGCATGAGGCACAAAAGAGTTGACTTAGGATAAAGACAACTTAGCAAAGCCCAAAACATCAATGGTATCAACATTATTCTTATGCTGAATCCAAAACACAGTGCTGTACCAGTTACTGAGAGGAAATTAACTCTATCCCAGCCTAAACCAGGACATGTTATGACATGCATAGTGATACACCACTCTTGTACTCGTACCTGCATGCATGCCACCATCTACATATGCATGCAGAAGTCCCATTTTACCCTTACTGTCTTATCATTTGGGGGTTTTTTGCCATATGACAACATATATATTGGTCTAACACAGAACACCTGTGCTTGGCTGATGTCAAACCTAACATTTATTCCCTACTGCAGCAGGTGCTGAGTCTTAGGGGCCTTTTTATAATGATTTTCTTTCCTGTTGTTCTTTTGAGGACAGTTACCATTTTTTTTTCTTGTGGCAGCTTTCTCCTGCCCATTATTTTTCATGGATGTGGGGTCATTTCCATAAGATTTAGTGGAAGTGCATCTGCTGCGTGATGGAGGGACACAGGAGTCAGAAACGAAAGCCACAAAGAAATCTCTTTTGCCATCACTGATGATGCATCAAGTGCAAAAGCTTGCTCTCATCCCAGCTCAGAGAAGGCCTGGGGGAGATAGAGCCAAGAGCAGACTGTATGAAATGTGATGACACTGTTTGCTAAGCCAGCTGCTCTTCATATCCTGGCAGGAAATTAGCCTTTGGCAGATCTATTATGTAGCTTGAATATATTGGGCATGCGCAAAAAGTCCTCTCCTGTGTTGGGGAAGAAGCAAAAATATTTATAGCCCTTCCCTGCTAGAAAGGCTCTTGCCTTACCTGAGCAGAGAGACTGGGATGCCATAGGAATAGAAGTTTCAGTTGTTGTACAACCATACTATTACTAAATAATGAAGACATCAAACATCAATGCTGTAAATATTATTATGCTGCATCACATCCTTAAAAGTTTACAGTTAGTATGTGTATTTTACTAAAAAAAGACCTAACAATGACTTCAGCCTTTTTTTGTTCTTCTTAAGCTTTCAGTATTGCAAGTTCAAATATAGGAAGATACAGGTAAAAAAAAAAAAAAAAATCCAACAATTTTTGATAGAAAATCTTGCTTAATAAGTCAGATTTGAGATTACACAACAATAAACTGGAAATAAAACTCCTTGAAAGGAGTTTTGGTTAGCCAAAAAACAACACCCAGAATTTCAGAATCAAAGATAAACATATAAGGAACAGATGTAAGGGAAAATGTCAGATATTCCAGAAAATTAGATTTGTTCTCTTGGCATTCTCAGAAACGCCATTCTCATATGCTTGTTTTGTTTTAGTGACCTTTTACAGACATGCTTTGCTGGGCCTGTGTATTTAAGAGCTGAATCACAGCCAGAGCTGGTGATGACAATGTTACCCTCTCCTGCCCTCAGGGGTAACTGGTCACCATCACAGGAGGTCAGGGAGTACTGCTACCCTGCACTCTTTCACAGAGTTTTCAAAGTGGGATGTTGATTTGATACATGAATAACATCTAAATTTCTCCAACCATCAGAATTTTCTAGGTTATGAAGTCATTAACTGCCAACTAAAACCTCAAGGTCAAATAAAATATTTAGTGTTCTGTAAATAGCCACTCCACCTTTGGCTAGCATTCAGCTAAAGATGAATTTATAATGTCTTTTAATCAATTAAAACTAGGCTATAATACATTTGTGTGGTTTGTTAGAAAGCAGTCCAACAGAGAATTAATCCCTGCTGGAACAAAAGACCATTGGTGTCTTTTTTTTTCTAAAAAATCTTTTATAGAAAACAAACATAGTTAAAAAAGTGAGAAGTTAAATATTTGGAAATACTTTGAAGTAGCTTTGCCACTAGAGTCAAAAGGTGTCTATTACAGTGTGTACAGAATCTAAGAGTTTCAAAACTTCACAAACCTCTTCAAAATTTTCCATTCCACTGGTGTCACGAGCGAACCTGAACTGAGAGTGTGGTTCCCTTCAGTAAAGCAAAAAATAAAGAAAGCAGAGGCAGAGATAAATAAGAGATGTTTCCAGGACTGGTCCCTTCATTTCTAGGCACTTCACACAAGGTTATGGAAATCCTTCCTTAAAATCTTAAAAACTCAAGACACAGTTTGCAAGTTTGGCAAAGAGTGGCAGTGTGTACAGACTAATATCAGGACTATGTGGTTAGTGCTGTAAGTAACTAGAGTGAATTTCACCCCTTCTCCCAGGATCACATAATTTGTCTTTACACAAGGAACAAGAAGACAAACTTTTCTCCTTTAGCTTGCACACTGCTTTTTTGTGGATAACTGATTGTCTTCTTGTAACCAGTGCTGGACCTTCATTTTCATAACATATGCTAATTACATAAAAATGAATGGAGGAAAATAATTGACAGAAAGTTTGATATGTACCATATTTTTATGTTAATTTAAGGACTTCACATATTTTCTATTTTGCTTACATTTTCTACCAGGACCTGGAAACTTTAATCTTTCAGGAGAGAGGTGGACCTTTGTCTGCATTTTCCTGCACATAGGGCATATTACTGGGCCCTGAAGGGTTCACTTCTACAAACTCTGATGTCATAACATTTTTATATTTTAAAAAGATATGTTTTAGTATATTTTATGAGAGGTTTTTTATGATTCATTTGTGCTCTCTCATGATAATTACACACCTGGTATTACAGACAGAGTAGAATTTTTTCCAATATATTTTAGTGCTTTACTGAGTCCTTTGAGTTCTCAGTAGTTATTCTCGTGTTAATTATACCTGGTCTTATGGATAGAGTAGTATTAATTAAGATTCTGTAAGAAATTTTGGATCTCTGCAGAGAATTAATAGACCTTTTTTTTTTAATTTGGAAAATATTTAAATTATATGGTGAAATAGTACAGGATTTTATTGGGCTGCAAAAACTACATATAATTAATATAGTCATCTTTAACTTATTGGGATTAAAATTCCTAATCTTTCAGTGACAATTTAGTAATGTTTTAAAGAAATATTTATAAAATCCTAAATATTTTGATCCCTAATTTTTCCCTTAGTAACTTTTCTTTATATATTTTAGTTACTCAAAATTGTATTAGTGAAAATGTTTAATAGAAGCTTTGAGATAATATTAGAAAGCATACTGTTTAACCATTTCTATATGCACAAATGAATGTCAGTTATAGGTAGGCTGTGAAAAAGTATTAATTTAACTGAAAATGTCTCTTTCAAGTTCTGAGTGTCTCCTTGCCTATAGAAGTCTTCCAGGGAGCTGTGATTGAACTGAAGATGTTTAAAGCATCACACTTTAAATGTTATTTTAAGAGAGTTTATTCAAAAGTGCTTATATTAATTCTGTAGGCGTAACAATGTATTTAAAAAATAGTATTTTCAAATTTAAGTGTATAAGGTTCCTTTACTAAAATCCTTCATCCTTAGACACCTGCTTGAGCTTTCTTTCCAGTTTAAGGAACCAATTTCCCTGAAGAGTCCAGTCACCCAGCACATCCCTTTGTTGGGGGAATAAATAAGGTGATCAGGAAGCCTAGTGGGGTCAATAAGTATGAGAAGCTGCATCCAGGACTGTGTGTTACCTTTCCATATATATCCTGTATATATATCTTGTATGTGTGCATCTGCTGCAGTAAAGTGAGGGACTCTTGATTTCCTGGAGACTGCATTGGTCAGGATCTCTGGGAGGTATATAGTCTGTTTTATTTTTGGTATCAAACTTGACTGTGGCCCCCTACTGCTTCTTTGGGCTTCTGATTTAGAGCTTCTAAATTATACCTAAATTATACTACTAAATTAGTTTAAAATCAATGAAGTGACTTCATGATGTTAATTATGAGACAGCATTGATGGGCTGTCAGATCTAAAATGAGCTTATTTTCAACCAGTATTGCCACTAATCTAAAATGAAATTTAAACTTAGATTCCTTCTGTATCCTGTAATTTTAGCAGCCAGCCTTTACTAGGCCTTACCAGCTAGCCTGAGAAATTTTTACGTACAGAGAGGTGAATCAGGAGTGTTAGCAACAACACATAATGAGAAACCTGTATTAAATCTGCAGTTAACTCTTCCTCTCAATTAGTAGGTCATATTTGGATACCTGCTGTATATAGTCTTATATCCATTAGATATCTATTTAATAAGCATGTTTCAGGGTCAACTTTGGTGTTTTTTTCAAACAAAATAGTAACATGGCACAATATTGTATAATATCAAATTGTGTATGGGTTCAATACTGCAGTATGCTGTGAATCCCTGTGGTTTGGTTAGTGCGCTCAGTTCTTGCTGTTAACATGAGAAATGAGCTACTCTATTCTTCCACAAGGAATTGAACGAATGTTTTCATTTTGAAATATTGGGCTTTGAATAGCTCTTAGTGTGTACTTCTTTTATTTGTTTGTAAAATACTGATGCGTATCACTTCTCAGCTCTGTTGTGTTTCTGACTCTCCATTTCTTGTATTTGCCTTTGACTCCCTTCCTGGTTATATGTGGTACTTGTTTGTTTTCACTGCAAATCGGGAGACAGGCAGGGCAATATGATGGGTTAAATGGTCTTGAGGAATCAGAAGGCGTCCCTGAGATTAATTACTTACTTCTTAAAAATCCCTCTGTTGAAATACTCACCTTTCATGTCATGCTGCAGGCCATCCAACGAGAAAAGCCTGAGAAGTACAGAAAACTGCAAGATGCCAGCAGATCAGCTGAGGCCCTGGTGGAACAGATGGTGAATGGTAATTACATGGGAGTTGGTTTAGATAATCTTCTTACAGATTTGATAAACGTACAGGTTTATATTTATCACAAGAATTATATTATACCAAATGGAACAGTAAAGTGATATTGCCTTATATTTCTTTTATTATTTCTGAATGTTAAATCTGTTCATTAGAAAAGAGGGGAAAAAAAAGTCTTACCACTTTAGTACCATGAAAAGAAATGCATGTAAAACTTGCTCACAGTAATGAACTGTATATTAACAATCTGTTCTGTGGAGAGACTTAAGTTGTAATCTTATTTTCTGAGCATGCTAAGCTTTTGAAGTACTTTAACACATCTGAGCTAGAAAAGCTCTGAAGGCATTACTTCAAACACTTTGAAAAAAAGTGCTTCCTGACTTTTAGTATGCAATGTATGTTTTCTAATATACTTATTGGTGTAATGTTCTGTATCATAGAAAATACAACCTTGGAATTTGGAAGAGATTTTTGGCATTTGGTTTTTCAAAGCTAATAAACGTACAAACTTACACAACTCTTTAAAAAGCAAAATAGCTCTAAGGTTGTTTTTTTTTTTTTAATACTATATGATGTAATTCTTTTGAACTTTTATATAAAGCAAAAACAAACCCCAAAGAAAGATAAACAAAAGTAAAATTGTAAGTCATGCCATTGTCCTTGATTTTGAAGAATGTCTTACTTTGCAAGAAAATACTAAACTCAGGCCAACATCTGTCATGCTGATATGATTACCAGAAATACAGATGATGAATGCACTGAGCTTCAGAACATATATTTTCTATTAAATTTTTACAGTGAAGAACCAAGTATTAAATAGCTAGAAGTGAAATACTTAATGTTTGAGGTACTAACTGGTCAAGCTAAAGAAACTTCATGAAACCCTAAGATTATTTTGCTTAAGTATGAAGGTGGAATATTTTATCAGTAGCCATATTTAATATGTAGTGCATATTTAATTATCATTACTGTAACAGGTGCTTCAAGGATTTCCTTCCCAGGCTCACTGAATAGACTGAAGTGAGTCTGCTAACATCTGTACCCTCTCTGAAACAATTTGGGCTGTTTTCCACAGTTGAATATATAAAAAGTTCTGATTTTTTTTTTTTTTAACATGTTTTCTGCTTGGGACAACTGACTATATGTTACTTTTAAGGAAGCATTTGAAATTTGTGTGCTGACGCAGCAAGGTTGCTATTTTTGGCAGAATCTGTCAGGGGCACTCTTAGTTGTACCCCACTCTTCCTTTGGCCAAATGGAGATTTGCACCTCAAGAGTTCCAGTTTGGTTTATATAATACTTTATGATGACCAATTTTGGTTTTAATTGCAGAACCCGCTACCATATTAAGTAATGCATTCCTGGCACTGTACTGCCTACCGTGTCTAGCATCAAGTAGACTAAGTCTGTCTTAGTCATTCTCATGTGCTTTTAACTGAAGATTCTCTTTTTTCTCTCTCATTCTTATTCATGGTTTATAGATATTGTGATCTCTACTGTGGCTAGATATGCACATAAATATTTCCAGTATGTCACAAATCACACCTTTTTGTAGGAAGCACATCCTCCAACTAGGGGCATGTACAGGGTGGACTAACTAAACCAGCTTTGACTTTATCGACTTCATCAACTTTGTCAGCTGCTCTGAGATTTGAGATATGTCATGCCATACACTGTGGTAACCTTGGTAGGAAAAATATTCTAGCACTGAGGACAGGTTACTTGACTGTGAAAATGAAGATCTCTGATTGTCGTGGTTTTAGGGAAGAAACTATCCCTTTGAAAAAAGAAACAATTCCTCTGGACTTGAAACCCTAAATATTTTGGGGACTTTCAACTACTCCGCTGATGCAAAGGCAATTTGAAGAACAGTGTTTGAAATGGTTAATTAATGCAGTAATTACCAGTGGTAGAGAGTAGAATTAAATAATTAACATTAGATGATGAGAACTATGAGATGATTTTTAAAAGGATTTGCAAATGGAATATCTTGCAAAGTGCTCAAAATTACTCCTTAAGGGCAGAGGAAGTTAATTGTCATGTAAAACCATTGTACTTTTGAATAGAAGAATTTTCTATTTGTCTTTTCTTCCAAATCATTATCATCTCATGCAATTACAATTAATGGTTGCAATTTAGTTCAGTTGAAATTGAACTAAAAGTTATGTAAAAATATTAACAACTTTAAAACTGCATCTCAAACTGTAGTAGAGTTATGGAGCTTTCCACAGTAATTCAAATAAGTTTCTATAGTCTTTCTTTCATTTGTGGAAATTATTTTTGGTTTTGTTTGCTGGATTCACTAAGAACAAGAGGAAAGTTTTGCTGAATGTTCAAAATAATGTCAAACAGAGCAGCCTGACTATGCCTTTATACCTTCCTCTTCTAATGCTGGAACTCTCTTCCATAACGTGGGAAGGAATTGGAATTAATGCGCCTGTATGGATTTGTGGGAGGTCTACAGCTTAACGTCTAGTGGAAGAAAGATGTACTCTGTTATTTTGAATGAAAAACCTTTTTAACTACCACAATTTACAGATCAAAAACGATGATGCTCCCTTTGTTATTCCTTAGCGAAACCAGTCAGTGATATAATTGATGATTGTCATGCATTTGCAGTGTAATCTGTAATTAAAAGACTACAAAAGGCAAACAGATTTAAAGCATAGATGAGTTCAGAAGTCAAGTGATGACAATTTTAATTGCATTGTTAAATTTCACTTATTGTGTGTCAATTAGATCTGGACTAATAATAATTAGACTCTTTAAGATTCCAATTATGCTATCACTGAATTCCTGGGTTTAGTTAATATATAAAATGTTCTTCCTCTGCTCCTAAACAAGATTCTGAATGTAACAGATAAAGAGCATAAAAAGATAAGATATTTGGTGATTTGTAAGGGCAAGTTCAGAATGGTGGTGAAATCCATTGTTGTGTCGTTTATATTTACTTTCTTGCATTTATTTTTACTGTGATAGGAGAGGGAATAAGCAAAAAATAGGATTCAGATTCTGGAGATAATTGGATTGGTTTATTTAAGGTTTTGTTTGTTCCTTAGCACAGAGGAAATTATTCTGAGGAAATGTGTTTATACAGGGTGCTATTCTTGCCTTATGTAAATGTTTTCAGCCATTGTCAGTGAAAGCATTTTGCTCTAGAAAGAACTGCCCTGTCACACAGCATAGGTATTCCTGTGTTTGTAAGCAGTGTGTCTGGACATTGCCATTTGAAGGACTTTTCGTATCACACGGGAAATCATAGATGGTTTTGGTGGATGCTTCTTTGCCCAACCACCCATCTGCTACATGGTCTGTGCTCTGCCTCTCCTTGCCCATGCTCTCAAAGAAGTCTGATGATTACAGTCAAAGAAAACTTCCATATTTCTCCCATTTTGTAGTAAAAAAATCTATTTTGTTTTTCTTCACTAAATTTTATTCTAAAATGGAATAACACATCTGTTGATGCATGAGTGAAGCAATTTAGCAGTTTCAGTGGACACTTGACTATTATAGAAGTTTAGAATAAAATAAACAGGATCAACACGAATACTTGGGGAATTTCTATAGGCAGCATTTAAGCAAATACAAATCAATTAGTTATGAAAAAACATGTAATATTTAAGTGCTACTGTTCTGTGGAAGAAATAGATTATCTTGTGAGTTACACACACAGGAGCCAAAAGCTACAAAAACCCCAGATAACATGTTATTCTATCACAGAACCATGGCAAATGATAGATGCACTTAATAAGATATACTTCATATTAAGTGGCAATTCCAAAGTACTTGCATGTAAGGTGCTGCACAATTAAAAATATTCAGGCACAATTTGTTATGTGGCATATATAAGGTAATAAAATTAATGGATGCACTTCAGATAATGATCTGTTTCCTCTGGGTACAGTATATTTATTCAGTGATTATATCAGAAGCTTTTAGAATATGAAAAGATTCTGAACCATGCACTATTCATAAAATAATGTGTTACCAGAGAATGGGGTTTATATGGTTTCTGGACCTGTTAGTAAACTTTTGGTATGTCTTGCTACTCTGAGTAAAACAGAATAAGGGGATCAGTGCTCACATCATGTGTGAAAGCTGGTGGTTGCTAAAGTTAATGAAGAAATCAGTACTTATCACAGAGGAAAGTTTCAAGTAGGACAAGGAGCAATGTCAGTAAACTGAAACTCAAGAAGTTCCACCTAAGAAAAAACTTCTTTACGCTGAGGGTGGCAGAACATGGGAACAGGCTGCCCAGGGAGGTTGTGGAGTCTCCCTCTCTGAGGACATTCAAAACCCACTTGGACAAGCTCCTGTGTGGCCTAGTCTGAGTGACCCTGCCTTGGCAGTTACTTGCACTGGAGGATTTCCAGAGGTCCCTTCCAATCCTAAAAATTCTGTGATATTCCAGCAATTCAGTGAGCAAAGAAAAACATTAAAATTAGGCCCTCATATCAGTTTCTCAGAAAATAATTTAGCATTTTCAAGGAGACAAAGGACTAGTTTTCTTCAAAATAAGGAAAAAATTTTACAAGCTTTCCCAAATGTTTTCAAGTACAAGGGATATCCCTTTACTTAAATCCTTCATGAAATGACATACCAATATCTGATAGATAACTTTGAGTTACCTGAATGGTGAATTGAGAGAGTTTAAAAACACATGCTATGGAGATTTTCAGATGGGTCTTCCTGTTAGTAGCATATTGTGTTGCCTAATGGAAGTGTGTCTCTGAAATCTTTTACCAAACGTGGCTCAGCACAAACCAGACTTGTACCGTCCACTTCAGTAACATGAAGAGCAAAAGCATTTTTTTGATCTATGCACTTGTAGAATTACATTTAGATTCAAAGCTTAGATATTACAGAAAAGAATTAATGAAAAATTGAATATTGGGTATTTTCACATATTTAAATGTTACATGAAGCAGGACATATGAGTAAAAAGAAGAAAAAAGGCCATCTGAAATAGTCCTCCCTAAATCCTTGAAGAAAATATTGCAGTGAAAAGTATTATTGTGTATGGGGAATCCATGACTGCACTTCACCTGGTAATCATAATCTTGCCTAAGGGTACCTTGGAGACTATGGCAGCTGAAAAGATAGGAATAAATAATATCTACTCCGCCAAACTCATAAGCAGTGTCTTCCAGGTTCGGAGGTAATCATGAACCCATTGGCAAAGATAATCTGCTCTCTGTTATGGGTATGCAGCATTTTTATAACTAAATTCACAACAGAAAAGAAAACAATTGTTGAAATACAGCATAATCAAAAGTCTTATTTTCTATAGGACTTATTTGTGCTTGCTGTTGTTCAGGTTCAGTATCTATCTATGTGCCTGGTCATCTGTGATTGTTATTATTCAGATGTGCTATGCCAGTCAGGTTTATGCTGTCTCTTCACATGTCACTCTATGTTACTTAGACATTACACTTTAATAAAACCTGGTTATGTGTACCACATCTCCAGATGCACACACACACTCACAGAAGACCAGATTGCTTTTAGATTTTATCAAGATGTGTCAAAATACTGTTTACTTCTTAGGGTTCCTTTCGTATTCTTGCACAGTCCTTAAATTGTGCTCTTCAGTTTTTAGAGTATAATGTGTATGTGTGACTGCTCCAACCAGCACACAGTTGCCATTATCTCCCAGTAGCACTGGGTTTCCTATTTTTCTGTAGTTTTGGTTTCTGAAATCATGTACAATTTACTTGGCTAGGGCAGCATCCCAGAAACAAAGCACATCCAGAGAACCACTATCAGGTACTGCACAGTCTGTTTCCAAGTGGGCTGTTCCCAAGCAACTCTGAATGGAATAGCCCTGAGCTGGATCCAGAATAGGATTTGCCAGAGCATTATGGTGCTCCACAACAGATATGATCCTGGACTATCATTTAGTGTGGCTTACTATATAGCATACATTATAGTAATTCCCTAGAAAATTTTATTATAATAAATTTCTAGTACTTATTTTATTTAAGGGATTTAACTGTAATTAGAACTTCATTTCCTGTGTCCTACCTTACAAAATTGCACATCAACTTTACTAGTCTTTATCCCTGACAAAAAATTTTTCCTGCAGATTGGGAGTCCAGGTTGCAAACCAGATAAACCATCTTTGACAGTGTATCAAAGACCTCAGAAGTGGAACACTTAAGACTTTTGCCTCATTGCTTTTAAACTTACTTTTAAAAAAATACTTTATTTTTTATTATTTTGATAAAAACATCACTTGTGTTTTACTGGTTAGCTAATGTATGATTAAGTGATGATTTTATTAACAGTGTTCTTAGGCATATAGCATTGCTCAAATGATTGAGAAATTTATTTTTGAAATCAAGATTGGTCTTATTGCCATATGTATCATTACATGTCATTACACCAAAAAAAGGTTAGGGGTTAGATTTAAACTTCCATTGAAAGAATAAATAAGATGCTTAAGTTAATAGTATTTTGAAGTCAGCCTGAGTTCAAGTTTCAGTATAATTATAAATTATGTTATTGTAAGACACCTTTGCTTATCTTTCATATGTATTGCCTCACTTTCTTCACAGAAAATATAGAGCTCTTTTATCTTTTAATTATTCTAAATAATGTCCTTGTCTGTAATAACTAAAACCAGTTTGATTTTATGAACTTTATTATAAGCATAATTATTGAACAATAGACAGAAATAGGCAAACTATATCAGAGAAACCAAACCCTGTCTGAAAGTAATCATAGAGAAGCATCACCTGTGGTTTCTCATCTCTCTGCTTAGTGTCTCCTGATGGTCACTGTTGGACACACAGGACTGGTCTAGATGGAGATTTGATCTGATCATGTGTTTATGATATTTCTAAAATACCATGTAATGCAAAACTTGAAGGATTATCAGAAACCTCCAGATAACTGCAGATTGTAGTTCCCATTCATTTAAATCAGTCTTTTTATTAAAGAAAATCCAACAACAGTCTTGTACATTAAAATCTAATTACAGTCCAGACACAGTTTTCAAAATCCAGCTGCCAGGCATTTTCTTATTTCTTACGGCAGTTTTAATTAGCTTTATGTATTGTATCTCTATTTGCTGCTTTATTCCCATTCTTGTACTTTAATGTACTTTATAATTCATTCCCATAGCAACAAAAGTACCCTGGCAGCAACTTCAAATACTTTTGATATGCTTTCCCCGCTAATGTGTAACATCTGTATATTCAGGACTGTTATTTGATGATAAATCATTAACTGGATTTATGAGTTCTCAAAACCAGAAATTGAATTGGTAAATTATATTACTTCTTTTTAATTATTTTCTTCGTAACTTGTTTATCTTTAAACGTCTTCTTCTCCCATATTTCCAGAGGGCCTGAATCCTGACAACATTAGACAAGCCTCAGAGCAGCTGAAGAGCCGCTGGATTGAGTTCTGTCAGTTGCTGAGTGAAAGACTGGCATGGCTGGAGTACCAAAATAACATCATTGACTTCTACTCTCAGCTGCAGCAACTGGAGCAGACAACAATTACTGCAGAAAACTGGCTGAAAGCACAACCCACACCAGCAACAGATCCTGCTACAGTAAAAACTCAGTTGGAAAAGTGCAAGGTTAGAGATTCTTCTCCCAGATTTTTATGATATTGTACTTTGTTGGTGTTCTAACAGTGGGACAGATTATGACCAAGTCTATTTCAACATAAAAATGGTGAATGGAATCCTTGTCTTTACAAAGTAATTATTGAACTTCTTCAACGAAAGGAAATACTGGTAAAGAAATAGAGATAATAGAACCCAATATATGGGTGTTTAAAATATTTAGTTATTAAGATGCTTAGACTCTTAAAGCTAGGGAATTATGGCCCTAAAGTCTTTTTCCTCTTTTTTACTATAAGAATCTGTGTCTTAAAAATCGTTGTTCATCACCTCTGTTAAGGATCTGTGCCAGAAAATTGTTTTTAAGTCCAAAATCCTACCATTGCACACAACTTTACTTGATACATACTCTGTGTTCTGCTGTAGGGTGGATTGTGTACTCAAAAGGAGGAATATTATTCTATCATAGTGGGACAGAATCACAGTAGTTGTGCAAAAATGGTTACACCAATTCACTTATTCTCCCTAATTGTTTTAATTTTCGCTCTACACCATCACAGAAATTTGATTATCTCTCTTCCTGTAGACAGCTCTGTGGGTGAGGATTACTTACAAGCTAATATTGATGTACAGGAATATATTGAGATGTAGTATTGAATTATAAATTGCATGACATACTTGTAGAGGCTTGACTTCAGGGAATCTCTGACCCCAAAAACTCTCAAACAGAAAACAGTGTTTGAACCCCAAATTTAGATCTGTGCTATTGCTTCTATTTTCAGTCATTTCCAAGCTGGAATTGTACTTACAGGGGGTCTCTGTTTTCAAGCAGAAAGCTTCTCGAGTAGCTCTACTACAAACTGTACATTTGGCTTACTTTCCTCATTTCTTTTTCCTTAGTAGTTGTATGTGTCACAGTGTGTCCAAGGTCTCCTGAAGGTATAGTAGCACAGGCTGATTGCTCTCTACAGCTTCCAGAGGAGGGGGAGTGAAGAGGAAGGTGCTGATCTCTTCTCCCTGGTATCCAGTCACAGGATACATGGGAATGGTTCGAAGTTGTGCCAGGGGAGGTTTAGACTGGACTGGGAGGGAGCAGGCTTTCTGGAGAGGTAGTTGATGCCCCCAGCCTGTTAGTTTGTAAGAGGCATTTGGACAATGCCCTTAGCAACATGTTTTAACTTGGTCAGCCCTAAAGTGGTCAGGTGGTTGGACTAGATGTTCCTTGTAAGTCCCTTCCAACTGAGCTAACCTATCCCACTCTAACCTCAAACTCTGATATGTTGCTGTGAGGCTGCTAGAAATCACTGGGCATCTTCATCTTTCCTTTTGAACTTTATGCTATTTAGCCTGTTTAACCTGCTGTTTAGTACATAATCTAACAGAGATGACTCCGGGGTTATGGGACACGTGTTTTTCTCTTCCTAGCTTCATGTGAAAAAGATGTTCCTTAGGCATGAAATATTAATGTACAATCTGTCTTATTTTCTTTGAGAATTACACTAATAACATGACAATGTTCTGCAAAAGTGACTTTATAGTGTCTTTAAGTGGTCCTATCAATCAACAATCGTATTTGAAGCAAAGGTATTGATTTGTGAGGAGAGATTTAAAATACCAGTATTGCTGGCATTGTAACTGACGTATTTGGAAGCAGAAGAGATGTGTAATGTGCACTGAAACAGTGGTGATTTCATGGCACTAGGAATTTCATTTTTCAAGTTACTTTATCTTGATTTTCTTTTTTTTGTTGTTGTTCAAATGTGCAGGATGAAATCATCCGAATGTCAACCCTTCAGCCTCAAATTGAACGACTAAAGGCTCAAAGTCAAGCACTGAAAGAGAAAGAGCAAGGACCAGTGTTTCTGGATGCTGACCTTGCTGCTTTTACCAGCCATTTCAAACAAATATTTGCTGACATGCATGCCAGAGAAAAGCAGCTACAGACCAGTAAGTGTTCATGACAAAAAGTCAATTGGCCTGACTAGCATGCAAAATATAGGTATTGTATATATTTTACTTTCTTTTTTTATATTTACTTGTGTCATAGGAAACCATTATTGCAATTTAGGTGCACTTTTTTGCAATGGAATTAGTCTTTCAAAAATTATCAGTGAATTCCATATTTTATATTAGTAGGAGAACAAGGGAAGATACACTCTTCAGAAGAAAAGGTTACACTCAATGGAATTCTACCATCAGACCTCCTCTTGTTAGTGTGTTTATGGGCAGATTCAGTGATATTTTTTGGCAACCTAAAAAGGTGTTTGTTTAGTTGGATTGTAAGGCGGGACAGTAGAGAAAAGGCAGTTATATTACAGGAGTGAATCTGCTCTAGATTTTCACATAACAGAAATTTAACTCCATAAAGCTCATCAAAGAGAGCAGCTACTTCAGTGTATCGGGTTTTTTATCTTGTGGCCAACTGTTCCTTTTTTACAATGTAGAATATATGACTGCCAGTTATGACATTATTTGCAATATTTGTAGTGAAATGAATTTTTCAAGAGATGGAAAATGCTATACCAAAATAGAAAGTTGACTTTTTCTTATTAAAGATATGTAGAATGTCAGTGACTACTGCACACTTTCTGTATTTGATTATGAAATTAATAATTAATACAAAGGCAACTTTTCTCAACAACAAAGACATTATTTGCCTCTTAAACCAACAATATCTCTAAATGACTGTACTGTTTTGAAATTAGACATAGTACTAGCTCCTTCTAGTGGTTTTTTATAGTATTCCTCCTAAGTTCTTTCATGAAGAGTTTTGGATTTTATTTTTACAAAGGTATATTGCTGTGCTGCTGTACTTATTTCACACATACACAAACTGAAGGTGCATAGGAGAACTGAGAAAATGCAAGTGAACCATAGCAAGTGATAAAAGAATGAGGTGTAGAAATTTAGTATTAAGGAGTGTAACTCTAAAGTCAAGACATGCAATGTGTAAGATTTAAAACCCATTAATATGGTGAAATCAGTTGCCATTCTACCAACAGAAAAATATTGTAGATGCTAATTCCTCTATGATTTCTTCTCTAACTCATGTTGCATAATTGCTGGGTTTGCCCCATCTAATTTTACTATAGCGAGTGCTCGTGAACTAACCAGTTGATTAGTCCAGTAAGACAAATATTGTTCACTGCCTGAACCATGGGCTTTGGTAAAGTTCTTCCTGGGATGTTCATTCCCCCCACCCCCCGTGCTGCATTATGCTCCTGCCAGCTGCAGAAGGACTTGTTCTGAGGTGAAAACATGGAACAGGCTGGGGAGAGTCTCCTAAAGTGCTAGAAAACAGAAGTTCCTAAATCAATATTTCATGGAACCCTGGACAGTTGTCACTGTTTTCTGTGGCTGCTGTGCATCATAGGAGCTCCATCTCAAATAGTTCATCTGTCAAGATGAGGTTGTTTTATCCCATATGGTACATACCTGCAGTGATAGTTTAGGTGAGGGTATTATGTAAATCTTATTTTATCTTCAGAAATTTCATACAGTTTTATCCAAAGTGCTAACTTCCTTTCATAACTGCTCTAGATATGAACGATCGTTCATGGGATGGGTTTACCTATTGCCATTTCAGGAAAGTCTTATGAATCAAAACATATGGAAAAAAACAAACAAGCCTGAAATCAAAGCATGGAAAATTTGGTACTTTGAGACTCAGTTTCTTCTGCTTTCTTTAATGACTACTTTTCTTGCGTTATACAGATGGGGAAAAGACCATATCCCATGTCTTTATTTTTGCCTTACTTTAATGGAAAATGTTGAAATTTTGCTAGAGCATTTTAGATATTTCTATCTCTTATTTACATAAATTATTTGCAATTAATTTTTTCACACATAGAAAAAACTCCTGAAGATTGAATGGTGTTTTGCAGATCAGTTACAGAACTTAATTTTTTACATTCCTTGTACATAAAATTTACATGTTTAGAAAGTTGTTGTTTTTTTTTTATTCATCATTAAGGTTTCTGTTTATGTTAAAAGGGTTTTTATTTTTGACTTATCATTAGAGGTTTGATTTTTGGTTTTTTTTGTTTTGTTTTTTTGTTTGGGGTTTTTTTGCTAATGTTCATTACTCCATTATTTTTTTCCTGTTTTCCAAGGGAATTTTTCCCCCACAAACGGTTTTCTCTAATTTTGAAGATTGTCTCCCTAAAATACTTTTGGTTTGGTTGGGTTTTGATTTCATTCTTTTGAAGGTGGTGGTTTAGTTTTGTTGGGTTTTGTTTGTTTTTTTAGGTTGAAGAGTGCTTAGTAATTTCTCTGTCCTTCACAGTAGATTTGTCACTAAAATATTATTAAAGATGAACTCAGGTTTTCTCACATTTTTCCCCATGATTTGGTTAGCATATCCAGTTATAAAATGTAATTTAAATTCTAAAACCTATTTGGTTGATTTTTCACTCCTTTACAATGTTGTTTATGAAATAAATACAGCCTCATAAAATATGAAGAAATATGATCTTATTTTTCTCATCTTATAGAAAGTCTGTATATCAAAAGTTCCTTTTGAATAGGATGTATCCAGCATTCCAGATCTTCCTCCTCCCCAAACAAATGTAGAGTAATTTCTGCAGTATTGGTTATAGAAAAAATAGGGATTAGACTGTTCTTCAAACTGTTCAGTAATCTACACGAGGGACTGAAATGGACAATTCTGATAATAACTCAAGAACTAATAATGTGATTTCACAAGGAAATTCTTAGCTTTGTAATGCCCTGGTCAAAAATGAGGATTTACACTTTATGTTTACTTGTCTTGACATTAACTGCTGCTATGTCAGAGAGATTTCTAGGGAGCAGCCTGATCAGCCTCCCACTGCCCCTCAGCCCAGGGAGAGCTGTCAGTCAGTGTCAGGTAAGTGAACACTCCCTGGTTCAAACTCCCTCCTGGGTGGCAGCTGATTCATTCTAGCACTCCTGAACCTCTGTGACTGAACTAAAATCCGTGAAGGTGCTTCTGCGTTTTAGTCTTGCTGCATTGAACTCTTATTCAGCCATGGTCTTGAGTGAGATACATGTTCTCATTTTGACAAGGCTGTTCTTCAGAGGGAAATTGGAAAGTCAGTAGATTTTTACAAAGTCACTAAAAAAAAAAAAAAAAAGGCTTCTGTCACAGGTCAAGTTAAAAGTATCAAGATGGAGGTGGCAAAGGAAAAGTCATAATTATTTCCATTTTTCTCTTCATAAATTCATGCACTGCGCTTTCCTTGCAAGTTCTGATTCTACCTTCTCAGGATCAGTAACGTCCAAAGGTGAAGTCATCATTGTTGTTGTTATTATTAATGATGAATTATTCATCTGGATTTAAATAATGTTTCTCCTATTTATTTCAAGAAGTACTTTAGAAAGATTTTGCCTTCTATATCATGTCAAGATTCTTTAGACATTTTATTTACCCATGCCATGATTACAGTTATTTTACATGCAAGCTACTATTCTCTTTAATCCACTAGTACAGCTTCTTAGAGTGTTCCACTACATGCATTTTACGCAACTTAATCTTGGCATAATTTTATAATTCAATAAACCACAGTAACTATAACAATATACGGTGACCATTTGGAGTTTTAGTCTGTAATTTGTCTGCTTTTGTTTAAACTTTGAACTGCTAACTTATTTTGGTGGTCTAAGTGCATTAGAGATGGGTTATAAGTGGAAGGTAAATTGTTGTCATTGTATACTTGAGGAAGGAAAATTTTAAGCAGGTGTCATGTAAATTTCCTAACTAAGTTTTTCTTAAGACCTAAACTATGATTTAGTAGCAAAAATATTCATTGCTGTTTGATTATGAGGGAGGAAGTTTGCTTAACCTTCTTTGAATGTGCCTTCTGATCTTAAGATACATCTCAGATGTGTGTGAGAAATTCTTATTCTAATGAGTAGCATTCAAACAATTTCTTTTTTTTCCCCCATCCATCCATTTCCTCCTGTAATTATTTTTATTTAAATAAAGATCAAAAGGACAAAGCAGACTGTGAAATGAATGTGTATGAGATAATGTCCTCTACTCTGTAGGTGACTTTGTCCTTTTCCTCCATGGTAAAAATGAAAATTTGTATGGATGGGAAATAAAACCATCTAAAAAAAAAAATCTGTCTTTAAAAGGTTTTTACTGTTACATTAGATCTTGTGAAACTGGAGAAGGGCTTCCCTGGAAGTGTTGGAGGAGGCTTTGAGCAATCTAATCTAAGCAGAAGGAGTCCCTGCCTATGGTAGGGGTGTTGGAATGAGATGATCCTTAAGGTTCCTTCTAAGCCAAACCATTCAATTATTCCCTTCTATTTCTTTTCAGAGTTTTATAACAAACCAAATTGGAGGGCTAAATCACTTGCAGAACATTGATTATATATTACACAGGAGTCCTCATGATTCCACTTTGGCAATTTCTGGTTTAAAAATATGGGAGAAGGGAATCACAACTTTTATGAAGACATCAGTATAAAGACTTTGATGAATAGGTTCAAGTATTTGTATTAGAAAATAAACAAAACAAAGTTGTGAGAAAATCAACCTGGTGTTAAATTGCAGTTGCTACTGAGGAAGTTTTTATTGGAAATACATGAAGTTCAATCTAGTTAATTCATTTGAGGGAATAACTCTTTACTAAAATGATCCCATAGATTATATTTATTGCCTTTCATAATGATGTGATGAACAGTGCAATTTGTATTGACTGCAGGAGACACACATCACAACCTATCCAGTGTGATTTGATAGTTGTTGAGATAATTGTATTCTCATTTCATTTCTGATTTGGGAAAATATTTTTGAATGAAAAATCTGGTCACAAAAAAAGGAAGATGGGAGGAAAAACAAAAAAGCAAAGTACTTTGCTTACTTGGAAACCTATTTTCTCATGTTTAAATAGTTCTAGTTATTAAAAATATATCTTAACCAAATATGTATTTGAACATTTGCAAATTTAAGGTCTTTCTCTAAAGTAAATATGCAAGTGTAAATGTATTTACCTGTCAGTTCTCAAGGGTTGCAACATTAGTCACACCAAAATTCATTTCCTACAAGTGTAATAGATTAATACAACAATATTTTTCCATTCTGGGATGGAAACTGTATTCTGATATTTCAGAGAAACATATTTGTAATTTCCCTCTGTGGTATTTTGTTACAGTTCTGTCATGGGCCTAGTTTTACTACATCTAAATGAGGCTCATGTTGGGGACGTGCTGAATCTTTCTCACTACCAATTCATTTTTTCATATAATACAGCAGATTTTGCTTATCATGTGGGCTTTAATACATAAACATTAGCATCACAAAGCAAATTTTAAGCTAAAATAAATATGTCTGAATGTGGATTTATGTTATTAGCATGGGAAATTTAAAGATTCCTACTGCCCAGAGAGAGATCATAATTGTGTTACATTATTTAAACAGTTATTATTCAGTAATGAATAATCCCAGTGTAGGAGTTAGACTGAATTCTCATCATTGACATCAAGTATTGCAAAAACAATAAAGGCTCTTCTTAAGTGTCATCCAAAAAGTTAATCTGCTTCCTTGTGGATGAAAATGCTGACAAGTTTTCTATGTTTAAAAAAAAAAAAGAAAAAATTAGAAAGTAGTATTTCAATATTAGTATTCTACAATAATCTGGAAAAGTGAAATTGGAAAACTGTTGTTTCACGCAGTTTAAAGATGCTATCATGTTAATACGTAATAACCAAATTGTGAAGACACTAGCTTGATCAAATCAATATCTGTCATCCCATTTGAACTCTTATTTAGTCCTTCAAATACTACAGAACATAACTTGTTGCAATTGAACAATATGTTTGCAGTGTTTGGATGGTTTTAAAATTATTGTTATTATTGCCAAGCTTACAGAATAAGAGTTTGATGCAGTTTGCTGTAACAGATTTTACCTGTTCTGAGGCAGTTTTCTCTATTACTGAAAATAGCAATTCTTTTATATAAATACTTGAAGTCCTACGTTAATAATAAGATTGGTTTTTCATTTAAAGGAGAAAAAAACTTAGAGAAGTCAAACATTATATCACAATACCGAACTACATTTCATATTTCTAAATAAAACTGTAGTTAAGAATTGTATAATTCTTTGACTTAAACTGAAATTATATCTCCGTTCATTTGCAATGATAAGTTTACATTAATGTTCTATTATAAAGTAGGAATTGTTTGGATTAAATGAGTCAAAGACAATACAAATCTCACTAAGGAAATAAAAAGATTTAAACTGCTATTTGATGAGATTGAATATGTTTGGGTTTGTGTTTCCAAGAATATATTACTATTGTTTTCTGTGTTTAAAAAAAAAAAAAACATCATAAGGGAAGAAATACTTGGTAATTCTTTTCTGTACCAAGTCTTTTGTAAATCCCCAGATACATGTGATAAATCAGATTAACCAAGACTTTTATGAGGAAAGTATGTGATACAATGTGCATACTCCACAAGAGAGAGTTCAGGTTGCCCTATTTTTAGTATGTTGTTATGATGTCTAACAGAAAATATGTTTGTTTTTTTTTTTAAATTTATCATTATGTTGATCATCTAAAAAATTAGGTTAAAATCTGAAGTACAGTCTGCCAAGCATTGCTGTATGAGAATGTAAGAAGGTTGAACTTAAAAACTTTAATGTGGTCTTTGTCAAAACTGCTTTTTGGACAGATATATCATTTCTCAGTACAGTTCTTTCTGAAACATCAGAGAAGGTGGAGGAGGATACAGGAGATACAAATGGGTGTAATTTTTTTGAGCTTTTATATGCTTTGTTATTATGTGGTACAAGTTGGAAATATTTCAGTTCCAACCAGCCAAGTTATTTGTCTGTACATTTTTCAATCAGTATAGAAGCAACTGTTGTTGATGGCAGAGGGAATTTCTCTGCTAATGAGTTGCTGATGTGTGTGCCAGATGTTGTCTATTTACAGCAGCTGTAATGTTGGCACAATAGGCACATTTCAATAAAATTCAACTTTATTGCAGAAGAAAGATTAATTTTCTAAGCTTTTAACAGATGTCTTAAATGGAACATTTTACTTGAACAGAAACACTGAACACACAAACATGGGCCATAAAAGGGAACGCTAGTGCTTAACACATTTCTGATATTAGATTTTGGATTAAGTACAATGGTTTATCAGTTGATCTCTGAACACACATATTTAAACTAGTTGTCTTGGCCATATAGGTTGTCTTGTGACTTATAATAAGAGAGTCAAATGACACGCAACTCATAAAATGGCAGAGATATTGTAAACATTAAAATAAGTGTATTCATTTTTCAAAATATTTCTGTTTCCACCATTTTTTCAAAAATTCCAATAGTTACATACTGAGCCTGTTGCAATCTCTTGCAAAACAGCCAACGACTTCAATGAGGCTTGGTCTTTTATCAAGCGTCTTCAGTCAGCAAACTGAATAACAAAGCACAAAATCATTTTATTTTATTCCTTCCTCTATTTCCTTCCTTTTTCTTCCCCATTGAACGTAGTTTGTGACAGTTTGCCTCCTGCACACTACAAAGAGACAATGAACACTATACTTTTGTGGATCCAGCAGTCAGAAACTAAACTCTCCATGCCTCAGGTTGCGGTTGCTGAATATGAAGTTATGGAGCAGAGACTCAGAGAGCTCAAGGTGAGTAATCAAGCTGTGGGGATGAATGCCTCAAGTGAGAACGTTAGAGGGACAAAACCTTTAGTTGTCATGAGTCTGCTGAAGCCTATAGATCTTGAATAAATAATACCCATTTGGGTTTTAGGCAAGGGCTTCAGGAGGTAGTGGCTGCTTACTTATATTGACTCCTAAAGTTAAAGAATATAAAGTGGTGTTAACGGTTGAAACTAATTTTATAAGATGTTTAACATGTTAAGGTAAAGGCCTTGTTTGTCCTCATGGTATATATAATATTCCTTTTATGGTAGCTCTGGTATTTATATATAGATTTAGCTGATTTCATTTTCTGGTGCTGACATGGAAACAATTCTGATTTGCAAAATGCAGCATGGTCTTTGTCAGATTTTCTGTCAGATTTACAAGCAGGCACAAATGCAGAACAACTTTTGCCAGTGGGTACAAACCTTCCCTGTATTACAATGTCTGATAATGTTTTACTATTGGATGGTTAATGAGCATGTTGTTTGATGAGCATTCAGAAATAAAAAGTAGAATATAGGGAAAAAATCTAGATGCAGCAAATTTGGACTGAGAATTGCAAAAGTTTGAGAAGTTATCAAAAATTTAAATCAAAGAATTGGTTATCTAAGTTTATTGTTTTTCTCCAAGTAGAGTCTGATTCTTTTGAAATCTTTAATCATTAGAGCCATAGCAAATTCCCATCTCAAGTTAATGAAATGTATAGTAGATCACATCTATTAGCAAATTTCAACACCTTTGGTTATATTCTCAGTTCAACTAAAAAAGTCTACTTTCTAGTTTGTGTAAGAAAAGCAATTCCAAACTGCTCAGTAGATTATACCATTGCATGTTCTGGCAAAGGTGACCTACATGTCTTGCCTATGCTTATGAAATGAAGAGAACTGCCTAACACATGAATCAGGGTACTACTTGCTTCTTATCCACAGGCTCTACAGAGTTCTCTCCAAGAGCAGCAAAAAGGCCTGAACTATCTCAGCACAACTGTGGAGGATTTGTCCAGGAAAGCCCCTGCAGACGTCAGTCAGAGATACCGATCAGAGATTGAGGTGATCCTCGGCCGCTGGAAGAAACTCTCAGCACAGCTGGTGGAACATTGCCAGAAACTTGAGGAGCGTATGACCAAGCTCCAGCGATTCCAGGTTAATCATTTTTTTCAGCCTCAGCTAACACATGGTGGCTGGTTGCTGTGGGACTAGGATAAAACACATTAATATACTTCCAGAAATTAACACTCAAGTGAAATATCAAAATAGCACAAAAAAAAGTAATAAAATGTTTGCTTGATTTTGATTGGTCCAAGATTTTACTTTGTGTTCTGGTTTTGTGGCTGTTTCTGCCTATGTTGTTTTAATAGCAAAAACTCCGATTTCAGTAAAAATTGCTACTAATGTTCCTCTATTTACTTTTTCAGTGCAGCTGAAACACTTATTCATGCATCTGAAGTAACTATAACCATATCAACTTTAATGAATCCACTTACATAATTAAAGTTATCTGTAATATAGTAGTATCTTGGCAGCAGTTACCAGAAAGTAGAAGTGTATTTCAGGTGTTTAGAATGGCAGTGTTGGAACATTACACTATTTCTCTCATTGTGGGAATCCCCTATTTATACTTATTTATAAATCACATTTAGCAGCATAACAGGGTCCATTTTTAACATACTTCTATTTCTATCTGATTTCAAATGACAGGTTTCAGAGGAATTCAGAGTAATCAGGATTAAAAAAGTATAGATAATAAAAAAATGTATTTTGTTACAGTTTATCAGTTTTTAGATTATCAAAACAGACTAAAAAAAGGAGGAAACATTTTATTAGTCTAAAATAACATATATATTTTATGTAAACAATTTATTATAATTTAGGTACTGAAATACCACATTGTTCTAAATTGTAATTTTGTATCTCCATTGCTTGTGTTTGAAGTTGGACATGAAATCAATTTTAATGGTATGGTGAGGTAACCTTGTCTAGCATCCAGGTGCCCCAGCTGCTCTCTCATTCCCTGTCCTTAGCAGGGGGACGAAATAGGATAGAAAGCTCTTGGATTGAGATAAAGATTGATGTAAAGAGAGATCAGTTACTAATTACTAATCTGTGCAAAACAAACACAACTTGAGGTAAATTAAAATGCATTGGTGTGATAAGAAACAAAGACAAAAATTAAACCAGCACCTCTCCCTCTCCCTCTTTTTCCTGCTCTGCACTCCAGCACTTTAGTCTTGTCTCATCTTCCATCAAGGTGTGCAAGGGGATGAGGAATGGGAGCTGCAGGCAGTCCACACCAGCTCTTCTCCACTGCTGCTCCCTCCTCTTTTCCCCTGCTTCAACATGTGGGTCCTCCCAAGGGCTGCAGCCTTCAAGAAATACCTGTTCCTGTGTGGACTCTGCATGAGCTACAGTTTCCTTTAGGGCATATCCACCTGCACTGATGTGGTTCTCCATGGGCTGCAGCTGGAAAACTGCTCCACCATGGACCTGCATGGGCTGTACAGGACAACCTGTCTCACCGGGGTCTTCTCCATGGGCTGCAGGGGAATCTTTGCTCTGGCACTTGGAGTATCTCCTGCCCCTTCTTCTTCACTGGCCTTGGTTCTGCAGTGCTGTTTCTCACTTTCTGTAGGGTTGTTTCTCACCTTTTTTCTCCTCCTCCATCTGTCTGGCATTTTTACCCTTTCTTAACTGTGGGGTCATCCATGTCCAGCAGTGGTTCCACTGGAGGAAGCTGGAGCTTTCTGTGTCTGGCACAGGACAGCACCTGTCTTCTCTTCACAGATGCTACCCCTGCTACCAAAACCTTACCACACAAAAAAAGCAAGACACTTTGCTTGAGAAAATAAAACTTTTGTATTTTTCCTTCTCTCTGCCTCCTGCCCTTCTCCCCACTCCAAATTTAGAGGTTTTCCCACTGATCTTAAAAAAAGGTCCTGAATGTCATGACCATGCTCTGTAGAACAGATATTTTTAAAGCAGTGTAAGCTGTTCTTGCATACCAATCTTAGCCTTTACATTTATTCCTGAAATCTCTCTAGTATGCATCCAATATAAAAGTCATTGTCTTTTCAGCTCGTTGAATGACTTCTCATCCAGATTATTGTTTTAGCTGTTGCAATTTATGGAATGTGTCAGCACGGGGTATGATGAAAGAGTATCAATAAACAAAATGCATTTACAGTCTGATTCAAAATGTGGGTCATACATTTGATCTTCATTGGTAGCTGGAGACTAATCTCTTTTTAAGTAAATCCCATCAGATCTATATTTTACCACATTAATGAACTATACTTAAATTATTCTTGTAAAGGTATTAAAGTTTCATCATGAACTATGATTCTGAACTATTTTTACTGTTGAATAATGAAATGCACAGTAGATATTTTAACAATGCTTTGGTAATTGCCATTCTGAAGTCTACTGATAATTTCTGTATGATAATTGTTACTAAATCAATTGATTTTCCATGGTATCCTGTTGTTTTTAAATATATCAATCACGTTAGGTAAATGTTTCCTTTGGTTACCTATCTCGTAATATTTACTAAGCCGTATTTGTATATATTTTAAGACACAGACTATATTTTAATGAAATGTCCTTTTCTGTGCTTTACTTCTGCTTTGCCTTCAGCATGTAGTATCAATACATATTTCACTCTTGATGAAAACAGTTTGATGAGAAAATGCTTTAGAATTAATCTTTAAAATTTTTGCCATACATCATTTTTGTTTTAATATGTACATCTAATTGTTTCCCTTAGGTGGCATTGTAAGGTAATTTTAAGTGACATTTAAATCTCATTCTACCTCTCAAGTTATTAGATTATGTACTGTTGCCTGGGACTGGTAGAGTTCTCTCTTTTCAAGTGTTTTATGTACAGCTTTTTTTATTAACTGCAAGAGGTAATTGAAGACTATGGAAATAATATCACTATTCAAGTGCTAGAAAAAGTAACTGAGAATTCCTGAAATGACTCATTGAGTCGTTATATGATTCTAGTTTCTGAAGTGAATCTGTTTCAGTTACATTTGTTTTTTTCATTCTAAATAGTAAGAGCATTTTTCTGTGTTGTGTTCTGGTAGAAAAATAGGCAATAGAGCATGCAACTTCCAAAAGAAGTCTGAAGTTTAAACAAAAGCACAGAATATTTGATAGATGAGACTGAATTAAATGCCAAATATGAGTAATCTGAAGCAATACTAGGAACGAATGAACAAGTATGTGGTATCTAAACACAAATGATTTCTAGAAGGCATAAACTTGAGAGCTATTAAGTTGCCTTATTGTAGACACATTAAAATTGGTCAGAAATGGTCAAAGGGAAGTGTTGATGACAGTCCAAGATAAAATTGGTTTTGCTTGTTTGCTGTGCTTGTATTTTTCAGACAGTTCAATAATCTTGAAATTACATTGTGATGAGTTTTAATTGTAGTGCCAGTATGAATTACACTCTTGCCAGTTGGGTTTTTTGTGATGCAATGAAATGTCTTTTTAATAAACAGAATGACACTAAAACACTGAAGAAGTGGATGGCTGAAGTGGATGTTTTTCTGAAGGAAGAGTGGCCTGCCCTTGGAGATTCAGAAGCACTGGAAAAACAACTTGAGCAATGTACAGTGAGTATTACCTGCCTGCTTGGCAAATACTCAGTTCCTCTCTATGAGCCTGGCTTATACAGAAGTTACACAAATGATTACTGTTCCTAAAAATAAATTTATGTTGTGAGGGGATTGTCTCCTGCGGTGTATTTGAACTTCTTGCATTTCCTGGGTTTGAAGGAAAATTCAGTTAAAAACTTGGAAGCTTTACTATCAGGAGGAGGCACACAGTGACAGTTTCATTATAGAATGAACAACACAGTGAAGAGTACTTGCAGCAAATAATGTTATAGCCTCTAAAGTCAAATGTTTATTTACTTTGTTGACTTTAAAAGCATAAGATACTTATTTTTTAAGCTGCATAATCTGTGCCAGAACATCTTTTTCTGTATCTCTTACTCACACATGATTTAAAAACTTTTCTGACTGGAAAGTTCTTAAAGAACTTGCAGGAATTGTAAATTATATCTTTTTTCACTAAACTTACAAGTTCCAGGATTTTATCCCAGCAGAGTTTTAAAGCATTGTGAAGTATCGATACTTCCATCACAGAGTTTACGAATTCTTCTTCCTGTCCCAACAGAGTGTGTAGGTGCAGTGAATCTTGTAATCCATGACGGTCCCTGTCCATATGTTCAGTGGAATTTACAAGTTCTGTAAATGTTCTGGCAGGATGTGTAAATATTATGAAACATACACAGTGATCCTGCAGAACTGCAAGCTCCTCAGACATTCTCCTAGCCATTATTTAAATAAGAATTATCATCATTTTTCACTTTTATGATGGAATGCTCTTTCAGAAATGTGAATAAAAGATCTAGGCATTTTTCATGTTTTCAACCAAAACCAGGGAAGCATTGTAAAAGACACAGTATATGTAATCTAACATTATATATGTGTGTATTTTTAGTACATACATAAAACTTAAAAATTAAATAATACTACCTTGCAAATGAATTTTGTTTGGTATAGCATAGCTCATCACATAACAGATGTTCTTCTTTATTTATTTATTTTCATAGATAGATCTGTTGATTATGCTCATTTGATTGGAGATCTGGACTACAGACATGACAGAATCCCATATAGCCATGTTTTTGTAGGGATACTGTATCTGAAAATTTGTGTGAATGGCACTTACCTAATCTTCTGCTATTCTTTTAGGCTTTAGTAAATGATATCCAGACAATCCAGCCTAGTTTGAACAGTGTTAATGAGGTCGGGAAGAAAATGAAGAGTGAAGCAGAGCCAGAATTTGCTTCCAGAATAGAATCAGAACTAAAAGACCTCAATGCTCAATGGGAACACATTTGCCAACAGGTATCAAGTCTCCTGCTGTGACTGGTTCTTTTTAGATTAATCATAATGTTTCTCATTGGCAAAAATCGTCTTTCTATGCATATCCAGTAGATATGAAACTGAATTTAGACATACTTGGTTTGCATTATTTAAACTTATATTTAAGAATTGCAATTTAGCATGTAGCAGTATATGTAAAGTATATTTATTTATATTATAGAACAATATCTTACTGTTTTTATAACAAAGTTGCATACTAATATCTTAGATCTTAAAAGTAATGTAATTTATGGCTCCTGAAAAACTAGATTTTTGAAAGTGTTGTTTAGGCAAAAAAAAATCAAGTTCTGTATTTAGTTCTATGTTTTCTTCTGCACTGCCATAATCACGTCATTACTCCAGATGAAATAAGACAGTAAAACTGTGAAGAGTTCAGAATTCAATAGCTTGAAATAGAGAGTACATGAACATATACATGTGTATAAATTGTTCTCCAGTAGTCACATGAATTTAAGAGAAGGGGGCGTAACAGGAAAGGATGGTTCTTTTGTTTTAATTGAACACATTATTAGTAAATAATTATATAGTATCAGAAAACTAAAAATTACAGTTATTTAATTGATGGAATTTGGATTCTTATTCTTTATGATAGTTGAAAGGAAATTTCTTTCATGCTGTATTACATTTAAATTTTTCCTACCTGCTTATTCTCTTGTCTACCTTGTTAATGTATATTTGTGTAAAACTGTTACCTTTTGAGATTGTCTAACATTTTCTAAAATTGATTACCTGATATTAATATCTATCTTTCCTAAGTACAGAAATGTTATTAGTATGGATTTAATTTGGTTCTTTTTAGGCTAAAATATTGTCAAGTTTGTAAAGTAGCTTTGCTTCAAGTACCATGTAATCTCTTTTCTTAAAGGCCTATGCTAAGAAGGCTGCATTAAAAGGTGGTTTGGATAAGACTGTGAGTCTCAGAAAGGATTTGTCAGAGATGCATGAATGGATAACACAAGCTGAGGAAGAATATCTGGAAAGAGATTTTGAGTATAAAACACCTGATGAATTACAGAAAGCTGTTGAGGAGCTGAAGGTAAAGATGAACTAATTCCTTGAGCTGTATTTAAAGTTCTTTTTGAAGCTTTCATTGTAAAGAAAGTCTTTCTTTTAAGTGGGTTTTATACCCAGATGAAGTACAGCTATGTTCAGACTGTGACACCTTGAGCTATGCAAATAACCAGATCATTTGCCATGCATCCCTTCACCTGCTCCTGATGATTCTTTTCCCAAAGGATTGCAGTAACCTCTCCTGTCACACAATACAGGAAATCTGGACCAGAATTCCTTGTTCATCCCTGCAGCCCATTTCTACCCACAACTAGGAAAACCGAAAGCCAAGAGTAATCTAGCAAACTTCTGGCAATGGCAGCCTGATCCCAGTTATTCTGGTTCATGAATTTCCTCAGACCTAGAGAGAAAGTTGTCAGGGATGTGGTTTTAGTTTAATGTTTTTGGACCAGATAGTTCTCATCATAAATTCCTGTGAAAACTGGTATACCCTGATGGCACTATGTGTACATCATTGTTTCTAGTTGTGATATCACTACAGTCATAGACATAATTAAGCACTCAGAGGAAACAATGCGAGGTGTAAAAATCTTATAACTTATTACTGAGACCACATAGCAAGGGAGAAAGTAGTAAAAGTGTGAAATATATACTAGAGAAAAACTATTTTGTCCATTTTTCTTTCAATGCAAGTTAATGACAGTGAGAAGGAGAGAGAAATCATTCAGGAATATTTTCCTTCTTTTATGCCTTGCTTGTGATTTTACTTTTAAATCTGGGTACATGAATTTGTTATGCAACAGATATTTTTTTGTCATTTGTGGTTCACAAATTATGATGGCAAAGGTATTTGGAGCATTTCTGAGGGGGAAAAAATACTCAAGTGTTTCACTAGTCTGAGAACTCCAGAACACTAAATAATTGTGAGATGTTAATTGTATTGAGTATTGTGTATTGGAAACAAAATGAAACAAAAGTTTTTTGGATGCATTCAAGATTGTGTCAGAAAGCCTGGGAATAAAATGTCTCTTTTGTTGTGCTTTGTTTTGTTGTTGCAGGATTGTTTGGGGGTTTTTCTTCCTCCAGAATTCTGCCAATTTTAAGAAAATTTTAACAGTTATAGAACTAACTTTCCTTCTTTTACTTTTCAGAGGGCAAAGGAGGAAGCCATGCAGAAAGAAGTGAAAGTGAAGCTTATTACGGATTCTGTTAATAATTTTATAGCAAAGGCTCCACCTGCAGCCCATGAGGCTTTGAAAAAGGAGCTTGATGTTCTGATTACCAGCTACCAGCAACTCTGCAGCAGACTGAATGGAAAGTGGAAGACTTTGGAGGTTGGATATCTTGTCAGTCGTTGTATTTATAGCCCTTCTAAGTGCAAGAAAGTGAGGTAGAGAGTGCATAATCATATGAGATCTTGAGTAGCTCAAGGCTATCCTCACTTTATGAGCCATATACCCAGTAACCCAGGTTATGAGCCATACACAAAATTATTTTGAGAATCATATATGCTGGAGACCCATGTTAAAAGAGAAGCCTCAGACATGACTCAGGTTGGAGACAGGAGTTGTCAACAACTGCTCATTGTTCTTATTCCCCCTAAGACTAAGCCAAGAATCTGGCTTTGTAGCAACCCTGTGATGTCTTCAGCAGCTCCGCTGGGCTTCTCTCCTCCATGGTTAAGGATTTTGATTCAATGACCCTGAAGCTGGACAGATGGTTTTATCTCAGCAGGGGAACACATTTATCTGCTGGCAAACTGAGTATATCTCACATATTTTGAGTTGATCCTCCCTTTTGGCCAACTCCAATGCAGATTCTTGACATGGAACTGCTTGCATATTATGCAGTAGTCAAAGAGAATTAGGTATGGGGTTTTTGCTGTGAACTAATTTGCACTAACTGACCTTATACAGGACAATAATATAACACAATAAAATTTATCTTGTCTAAATTTCACTGTGAAAAATTAGGTGTGTAGTCTAAACTGGTAATCTATATTTCCCCTGATCATTGATGATGTATAGTTGAATGCTAATATCCCTCCATAACTGCCTCCTAGACCAGACATATTTGATGTGAGCTAAGTTAGTTAGGTGAGATGAATTGCACTCTGGAAAGCTTGATCTGCCAAGAGTGTAATGTATTTCAATAATATTATTTTAACTTCTACTAACAAAAAGAAAAAAAAAAGGAGGAACTAAAAGATGATTTATGGGGAGTTTAACCATTTTGTTTGTGTATAAAGTGCTGTTTTTATCTGCTTATTTAAGTATCTTCAGGCACTGTATAAATAAAATATTAGACAATAATTTAATTCCAGGGGAAAAGAACATTTTATAACATTATGTTTAGTACTCTAGCACTTAAGTGGTGTATAAATTGCACTAAATGTGGTTTTGAATTAATTCCCATAGAGATTTCAGTCTGAGTTCTTGAAAGCTATGGTTTTAGACATTTTATGAACCTGTACTTTAAGTAAGTAATATATATTGAATAAATAAGCAATCTAGCTGCATTTTATAATAAAGACATAAACTTCAGACATGGTTATTTAAAAATTCTCTTAACTTTTATATTTATGTAAGAAAATTTATAGAAAACCTGTAAAGTGGATAATTCATGAGACAAGATTCAAGTTGTGTTTTGCAGAAGTGTTCACTTTTTCATGTTATCTTCTGTGGTTTTGTTCTGTTTAGCATTTCATATTAATTTGGATCATGTCACTATTGGGGAAAAAATCAACTATATGGCTCCATAACTGTCAGATATCAACCATGTTGTTTTGGGGATAAAGCATGATTGTTTTCAGTATTTTAATGAGTGAAAGTTAGCTGTGAGATTTTTAATCTCAATAAATACTTTCTTCATCAGGAGGTATGGGCATGTTGGCGAGAGTTGTTGTCCTATTTGGATGCAGAAAATAAATGGTTGAATGAGATTGAACTGAAACTCAAGGCAACTGAAAATGTCCAGGGAGGTGCAGAAGAGATTTCTGAGTCTTTAGATGTAAGTGCTGTCTTAAATAATACCAAATCGTATGTATTGATAAATTGTAAATCACACGGCATGCTAAACAAACTAGTATTCAACATTCTACATGAACAAGGTGAGAATATTTGGAAAGTCCTGTGTTCTCACCTCATTAAAAAAATAAGTGTTTGAATTCAAATCCACTTAAGTGAAACAGTAACTAAAACTTTTCAAATTGGTAGAAATTAAGTTAATTCTTTTAGTGGATCAAAACAGAAATTGTTGCATTGATTTTCCATTTTTGCTGTTGAACTTCATCCATTTAGAAACTCAGGGTTTTCATTTTGAAGTATTCAACATAAATACTACAAATACTCTCACTGAACTCACTGAGTATAGTCTACATTTTAAAATTAAGCAGACAATTTATTGCATTGTGGAAAATCTTTGGGTTAGGTAATAATTAGTTTGTTTTCAAAAAACATTTGTTTTCAAGACATGGGACATAAGTATTTAATGGTTTTTTTCTCTACTTTTATTGTGTATGTAACGTGAAATTTCCTTTTTACATTTTTAAGGCAAATTATGATTGCTCTGTAGAATGTTATTTACAAAAAGGAAAATAAACTACTTTTTTTGGACCTTTTTTTAGTCTTTGGAACGTTTAATGAGACATCCAGAAGATAATCGCAATCAGATTCGGGAATTGGCTCAGACCTTAACAGATGGTGGAATCTTGGATGAACTGATCAATGAAAAACTTGAGAAGTTCAATACTCGATGGGAAGAACTTCAGCAGCAGGTATATTTAGTAACTGACCTGTCTTCCAGAGGACAATCTAACACCTTTAAAAAAAAAATAAAAATAAAAAGTTATCTTCTTGGTACAGTTCCTAAACAGTACACTTCTGAAAATTATGGTAGAAGTGGTTCACGTACGTGTGGTGGGCTAACTCCAGCAGGTAACAAAGCACCACATGGCTGCTTAAAAGCAGATTCACACCCTCGAATTCTGGTTCTTGGTATTTCTGTTTGTTTTTGGTTTTTTCCTGACTTGGAGGAAAAAATGGAAAATTTGGAGGAGAAAACAGGGAGTTTCCAGTATATGAAAATATGACTTTCAAACAGTCTTGCTGAGTGATGGTCGAATACTCTTCAGTCATAATTATCATAGGCATTAAATCAAAAATCTTGAAATCTGCAGGGATTTAATGTGAGAACTACAACATGAAGATATGTGAAATTCTGGAAATAATTTAGATGAATATATAAGTAAATTTATTAGAAATTTATTCACTACTTTCCAATTTTTTCAAATATAGCCAAAAATTGGGGTGCAAGGCTTCTCTGAAAGCTTATTTGAAAGCTCAATCTGATATTTAGCAGTTAAATACTAATAGTGAGATCTGACTCTGAAGTAGAAAACCCCTTTTTTTTTCATAGGCTCCTATGCTGAATTTTGTATGCTGTTTGTGTAGTCTGTTGAAATCCAAACAGCTTGCATCCTTCTTGCATAAAAATATATTACAGGCACGTAACACAATTCAGCTCGTGTTCAAGGTCACTCTACTTCAGACAGGCTAATAGGCTATCCTAATGTGATGAAGTTATTTGGGTTTATTTGAAGAGTTGTGCAGGTAATTACTAAGACAATAAACTCATGTGGGCAGAGACTGTTATGTGAAATATTTATTCACTACTAATAGAGCAACCAAACCAACCCACATTCCATATGAATAATGCTGCAAGACAATGCAGCTTTGCTAGTGACATAGAGATTCATTTTTAGAGGCAGATAATGGCTTTATGTTTGCATGCCTTATCTTCTTTAGTTAATTAAGGTTGAGTGTATTTAGTTCGCTTTTGAACATTTGAGGGTGACTGATAAGCAATGGATACCCTATAGTTACTTTTCAAGGACTGATTCACTTACAACTCTATGTATGGTTCTAAGAAACATTGAACAATTTGAAGCTAATATTGCAAGTGGCCATCATCCCCTGTAATGATGAAAGTGATTCACATCCTGTCTGGCAAATTTCAGAAATGTCAATCAGATATTCTTGGGACTAAGCTTGCAAAAACTGTACAAAACATTATTGTTCAGATGGCTTTACACCAGATTCAATTATTATTGCTGGGTGCTGTTTCTTCATTTCTTTTAGGACTCCCCTTCTTTGTCTTTCAGAGAGCACTTATTCATCATTTGACACAATTTTTCTGTTGTGTCCTCCTCTCAAGAGGAGAAAGGGTATTTCATGCCCCATCTCTATGTGATTGCTTTGAAGGCTGCTAAGTGGGCTGTTTTTGGGAGTTCTGAGGCATTATATTTCTGCAGTGATAACCTGAAGAGACAGAGAAGTCCTCTTTGGTATAATTTGCTGGTTTGGAATACAATTGATCAAAGTTGAATGTACCTTAATGGATGAAAGATCAAATCTTTGTAGTCACTTTCTTGAAAAGCACATTGTGAAATATTCCTAGAATTTGCAGAATTAGTTCTGTCTTGGAGGGTATTAAAAATTCCTGGGCCCAAAAGTAATTCTTTGAATTTAAAAAAAATATGTTTCTAATTTAAGTCTAAACACAAACTCCAATCAACTCTGATTCCAAACAAAAAAAGGAGATTAACAGGTTAACAATTTGATTAAAGACTTACAGAGATGTTGTAATGTATCTCAGATACAACCATTGTAACACCAAGAATCAGGTTAAATTTTAAAGCAAAGTTAAGAAGAAATTTAAAATTTCTTAACTTTTAACATTTTAACTTTACTGCTGTGGTAAAGGTATTTCTCAATAAGAGAGCCAAAACTGAGCCAAAAAAAAAAAAATTAAAAAAAAGTTAATACTTCTGCCTTTCTTGTCAGACTCCTTTCCACAAGTTAATTACCTGTATCTTATCATCTAATTAATGAAGTTTCTTCTGCATTTGGAATAAATATGCCCTGTGGTAAAAGTACTATAACTTTCAAAAAAGTTTTGTTAATTTTTTCTCCCACAGCACAATTACTGAGTACTGCCTCAAGAACACTACTTGGTTTTAACCACAAAATTCTAACCAACATCTTAGTAACTGTGTGTGTGACTAATGTCATGAAACACATGGAGTGTCTATAAATGGAGCTTTTTAATATTCAACATCAAAGAATGAACTTTAGTCATAACCAACTGTTTGAGTACCTTCAGTTTTCCTGATTTTTTGGCCACCTCTCAGTGCAGCCTTTCCATTAGTATGATATTTTATATGAGTAATATGCAATGTTACTATTTCCTGCATTTGTCATTGACCTTTGTTAAATTTTAAACAGATTTATACAATACCTCATATCATAAAAAATGTTATGTTTATCATTAAAAACCCTAAAAATCTATAAAAACCTGTGCAGACCTAAAATTCCCTAAATATTTTTTCTTTTGTCTTACATTCCTATAGTGTCTAACAGCAGGTTTTTTTTCCTTTGATTTTGTTTTCCTTGGCAGCTGTCAACGTTTCACTGGCTCAGAAATAATTAAGCAGTTGGTTATTTTCCTGAGATTTTCTATTTAGCAATTAATTGTTACACACTTCTCTTTAGAAACCAGAGCCTTCAGTTTTATTGACTATGATCTGATAGCAGAGCTGGAGCTTCTTGTTGTGTCCCATTTATACACTGTGATGTTAAACCATCTATTTGTCTCACAGGGAAATAGAAGAATCATAATCTTTCAGGAAAAAAAAATAAACCAACCAAAAAACTCAAACCCACCCAGAACATCATAAATGAAAATGTTTTTATATTATAGTATATAAAATTTCAACTCTCACTTTTCTTTAAAAAATATGCTTATGTAGATTTTCAGATGAACAGACATATGAGTTTTAAGGAAAAATTTGAAACTCAAGTTCACAGATGTATGTCTATAGTATGATTGCCTCTTTTTGTAAAACATTCTTGTGCTTGTCTCCACCAAATTAAGGCAGCACTTATTTATATCTGAGAAAATCATCACAACTATGAAGGTGCCATTTCCCACCACTTGACTATATGGCTCTTTTCCCGCTGCAAAAATAATTCCCCTCTTTGACCACTGAACTCACATCTTGGCCTGGTTATTACCCATTCACCTAAACTGTTCACAGCTTTGGGAAAAACATACTTTGACCTCACTTAGAAGGTACAGAATGTCATACAGGTTCTCAGGCTGTAATCAAATTCTCTCTGAGGACAATGAAAGGTGAGTGTTTTGTCTTTGTGTGTGTTGTGTGCACATAAAGACATCATAAGCATGAATATATAATTATCTGACTTTGTTTGAAATCCAACTGTAAAAATTCAGTCACACTCAGGAAAACATTTAATATTTGATCCATGATGGGAATTTTTCCAGTTGTATTCTGAAATGGGATCTGATGGACATATGCTGATATCAGCACAGAGATGACAATTTTTCATCACCACGTATTTGTCATACAATTTTAAGACTTTATGAATTTACATGCATTGCATTACTTCATTGCCTGCATGCAGTCTGCTTCTAAGGCTGGCAGCAAATATATCTGTACTTAAGCAAGTCCCTAGTTGCAAACAGTATTTATCATGGGTCAGCATTTAACAAGGGTTCAAAGCTTCAGGTATTGCTACAAAAGTAGTTTTTCAGATGAACTTAACATCAGATGTGTGTCCAGTATATTGAATTCTCCAGAAAGTACAGTCACTTATTTTAATGACTCATAAGAATGGAACTTTTTCATGTTAGTCCTACCAGTTAATCACAGAGATCAGTAAAGGCAGAGAGGTTACCTATGGGCTGTAGAAAGCTACTTATCCTGTTTCGTGATTTAATGTGACTTTCAAACTACTGTATAGTGACGGAAAGGGATTGATAGAAAGTGACTGTATCTTAGCCAGGCTTACAAATTGATAGTAATGAGTGCCAAGGTAAGTGGAAGCTGTGTTTTTTAAATTCAGCTGTGTTTTTTGAAATTCGCTACTTTGAACAGAATGTTGTAATATAAGAATCTCAAATCAGATGAAGATAAAAGTCATTTAAGTAGCAAGCCTTAGTACTGTATTGTGAAGTTACACTGGTTTAATGGTTCATTTAGTAAGGTAATAATACCTTGTTGGCTTAGGTGCTCCCATTAACACTGACAGCATGAGTCTGATATGTAAAGCTGCTCATTTCCCCAGAAGGTTCCCGGAACTGGCAGTGATACAAGATTATCTGATCAGTTGTTCTGAAATAGCACAAAGCAGCTTATAAAAACAAATATAGAAAATACTGGTTGGATCCCTGTCCCTTAACTAAGTCAAATAGCTAGCAAGAATGCTCACAAGAAATAATCTTTCTCATTTGTTACATGTGAAGCTCTATAAGAATCTGAGCTCCATGAAGAAGGTACAGATATATCAAATATTCTCACTGAAGTGCTGAGAGATATTTTTGTTCAAGGCAAGAGTTGTAATGGGTATGAGATCAAATTAAAGTATAGCTGGCTTACCAGAGAGAAAAAGGGTGATTTGACTTGAAAAATGGCAGGACACCTAGAAATGTTATTTAAAGAGTGCTTCCTTTCTTTTTTGATTCATGTCAAAGAAAGTTAGTCACTTTATTCTGTGGTCAGCAGTATGGCTGAGGTTGCATAGAGAAAAACTGTGTTGCATTTGAGATTGATGGTAATTACTGTGTGTTTTGTATAAAGCAGAAACTCTACTTAGGCAGTTGCTGTAGTCTGAGTAAAATATGAGTCTGCAGGTAGACACAATGACAGATGCAAGAAAGTAACAGGTTATTTATTATCCATTAAATGCCATATTAAACTGTTACAAATAGTAGTTAAAGCTGACTCATTTATGTCAAGTGCTAAAATATATGTGTGTTCTAAGGACAACTTGGAAGGAGAATTTACTCTTCTGATTCGTTAAACCATAAACTGAGCTCCATTGAAAGGAAATCATCCTCCACCAAAAACAGTTCGTGTAAAAGGCTGTGGTAGACAATCCATGGTGACACTGCTGGTGGGGTAGAAGCAGGAGTCAACTTTTTGGGTTTTTTTAGCCACAGAAGGAAAAAAGTAGTCATTGCTTCTTCCAAACAGCTGTTTGTACTTCATATAAGAGAACTCCATCTCAAGAGAGTCTTTATCCCTCTCACTTACTGAGGTGGATTGCCTCAGATGAGATTGTGATGACATTAACCCTATTCTCAGTAAACAAAGTCTCTTGAATTATATAATAAGATCAGGAGGACTGCCCTGCCTCAGAAAGAAAGAGAGCACTGTCAGGGTGGTTTTATTATGCAGCTTTGCCAACTTGCACTCTGTATAGAAATACTCAGTTTATGCATTGGCTTTTCAGGATCCTACATTTTTTAGAACTTGTCTATGCTATTTGAGCATTGTTTCTTTGTTTCTTACGAAGAGAACTGAATGGGTGGCAAAAAGATGCGCAATTTATCCTACAGAAAGGTGGATGAGCACAAGCCAGGAGTCCTATGTTTGATTCTTTGCCTAAATTTTTGGGAAAAAAAGTATGGGGAAAAATGTATTATATGCATTATTACTGTGAATACTGATAACATTGTCATTGTTTTTAGGCCGTGAGAAGACAGAAAAGTCTTGAACAGAGCATTCAATCTGCACAGGAGACTGACAAAACCCTGCGCTTAATCCAAGAGTCTCTTGCTGTTATTGACAAACAGCTGACAGCCTACACTGCAGACAGAATTGATGCAGCACAGGTCCCTCAGGAAGCACAGGTAAGGTATATACAGGTTTAGCTGATGTGTTTACTAGTTTTGTTAATCAACCAAAGAGTGTTTGGTTGTCTCTCAGCCTCTTATTAAAGAGGATTTGCAACATGATCAGTAAGAAAGTGCAAGTAAATTTTGTGTAGGATTACTTTGAGAAGTTTAAGCTACTCTTCTAGTAAAGTCATATCTTCCTTCTGATTTATATACCTGTCCAGAAGATGCAAAGAGCTATAAATGTCATGGAACACTATGCAGTAAATTTAAAATGGCAAGGATAAACAATGTGACTCTTTAAAATCCCATTCTCAAAAGAAGAAACTTATCAAAGTTGATTATGTGGCTTAGGGTTTGTTACTAAATTATTCCAACATAGACAACATTGCTAATTATTTCATAGTGTGCACATAAATGTACTTATATTCAAATTTTTACAGCTCATGTAAGTCCAATAGAAAAAGCTTTTCACATTATTTCTTCACTCTTTCTTCAAAAGGGCTTATTCATCCTTCAAAATAAAAATGTACATCTAATTAACATTTTTACTCTTTTGTTCCATCTGTAAGATGTGCTTTACTGTAGCATTGAAAGGGCAAGAATACAAACAAAATAAAACCAAACATCTCTGCTATAAAAATATTAACACTCTAAAGTACTATATACAAGAACTTTTCTGTTAATTCCATCTATATTTAGGCAGTCAGATTACAAATGTAAACAAACAGGCAAAAAAAACCCCAAGAGGTAGGTTGAAAACAAATGCTTTATAGTTATTTTAGAGAAGACATTCAATTGTGTTTCTTCTGACATTTAAATCATTCTAAAAAGTGGGTATCTTGTTTGGAGTAGGTGATCTTAAATATATTCAGAGCTGAATATATGCAGCCCTGAAAATAATTTTTTCCCTTCATTAAAGAAATAAAGGTTTTCATGTCATTTGAATTAGAATGTAGTTAGGTGTAACCTTTCAGTTACTTTTCATGTGTGTATGTGTGTGTTAGTAGGTACATGCAGACTTTTTATATGTATAAATGAATTACAAATGCTATATTTAGAAAACAGGATTGTATTTGCATTCAGTCTGATAAGATCAGATTTAGACAAATTGCTTCAGTTTGAACCCTAAATAATGTTAGCTATCAGCTGACTCTCTTGAATTTTTTTCTTCTTCCTTGAAATATGAATTATGTAAGCAATTTTTAAAAATAAGATAAAAATTAGCATTTGTTAAAGATGCATCAGTTTGATTTCTGATCTTGTAATTATATAAAGTGAATACATTAAAAAAAATATATATGAACATGTGCTTTTTTTTTTTTTCTGGTGTATTTGGACCCTTGCATGTTTCCCATGTCCCATGGATGCATTTGGTTTATGTGCATCCACAGGTACAATACTGGCGATGACTACAGACTCCATAAAAGAAAGTAATTCAGAACTTCAACACGTGAAGCAGCACAAAACTCACCCTTAATTAGCTCACTTTCATAGGAAAATTTCAGCTCAGCACTTTTGCAGAATCTGGGATTTTTTTCTTGAGATTTTATTGTCTGATGTCAAGTTCACCTGATTGTACTATATCCACTGTGGGAAAACCAGCTTAGAGGCTGCTGAGTTTTTCCCTTTCATGTTTTGATTTTATGGTGCCAGTGAGACATAATGAAAAAAAAAAAAAAACCAACTTAATTAACAACTGAACAGATTTAATGCAAATATTGAAGTTCTCTGAAGTTCAGTTGTGAAGTTCTTTAAAATCCTTAGAGGGAAAGGGAATAAACAATCAATTTCATGTGGGTAAATACACTGAGTCATTCCTTAGCAAACAGCCGTGGCAGCCGGTGGCAGAATAGGCACAGACTGAATGGCCTCATCTCCTGTGGAGCTTCTGCTGGCACAGGTCTTTTGTAGAGCTGAAAGCAGTTCATTCATCTAAGATACCCTTCAATAGTGTCTGCACAGCTGGAATGGGAATCTTTCAGTCAGTGATGTTGCTTTCTGGCCAGGGATCAGTTTATCCATGCTGAGGGATTTAGCAAACCGCTCAGCAATATGTGTTGCATTTCTAAGAGAACATATGGGAGAATTTATAATCAGAAAGCTGCTGAGGGTTTGGGAGCTCTGTGTGTTTGCTTCAAAAAATTCAAGTATGTTTAGGGCATTGATGGGAGGATTTATCTTTGTTTCACCTGATCGGAATTGTATCTGAAAAAACAAAATTATATTTTGCTCCTTTTTCTTAAGTGAAATGATCACTTTAGTTTATTCAGAAAGTTGACAGAAGGAAAGGGGAGTCGAGTATGTACTGTTCAACTTCTCCTTAGGATCACTTTTTGAATGTAAATTCTGTGTGCTTCTTACTCCACCATGTGGCACTGAGAATTTAATGCTGGAGAGCCAAATTATTTGGAATACAACTAAAGATGCTGTATGCAGACAAAACAATCTAACAGCAACCACACAGATAAATCAGTTCAGATTCCTCGAGGTCTGATGATAAAAGGAGCTAGAGTGAGATAAATTATAAAGCAATATCCCAAAAAGAAAGATTATTTCTTTGTATGCTTGATCTCGTGACCCCAGTGGAAGTCCTCTTAATATTTCTAAACTTGCCAAGAAAATAAAGAGAATTAAGTCATCATCATAAGAATTTGCCAGTTGCTGACTTTATTTCAAGTACTCTTTAACTGACAGGAAGAATATAAATCTGTACTGAAAATATTACATTTATATGACAAAATATTTTCCAAATAATTATTTACAGCTTTGTTATTTAATAACTTTTGTTGGGAAAGAGAATCTCTGCTATATACATCTTCTTAGTCAGAGTGACTGTGTGAGGATTTTTATTATGGGAGAGAAAATAAACTTATTTCACTTCTCACATGCATGTGACAAATCACTTTTCTACTGTTCTCCTGGTAGACTTATGTAAAATGCAGTGTGGAGAGTGACTGAATAATGTTGTGGTTTTAAAAAACAAAAATTTAATCTACCTTTACAATCAACTCCTTGGATAACTTCAGTTCTGTAGTGATAAGCACTTCTAAGTGAAGGTGATTATCAATCTGTTTTTAAAACACCGTTGTGCTTTGTTCAAAATGGAAGTGAATGTGATGATATAATGGCAGGATTGTTCAGTTGTTCAATATGTTGCCTGACGGGAATCATGCCATGCTTAGTTGCCTTCAGACTAACATTTTGGGACAAAAAAATTCACAGTCATCTACTTAGAAAAGTGTTAAAAGTACTTACACTTACCTTTCCTCTGCTGGTAATTGTGCCAATTGTTTTGTTCAGCCATGTGTGGATCGGTGGTCAGAGGAAGAGCTGATAAGTGTTATTCAGAAGTGTAAGCTTACATTTCATTATCTATGAATTTTGAATATCTATGCAGATTTCTGTACTATGCAGGTTGTCACACTACACATCTCCACAGCATCTTAACTCTGCATTTTAACTGCATGAACTGCATTTTTCATGTTTCAGTCTTGCCTTGTCAATCATGTTTTTACCATCTGATGATTTTCTTTTCTCACTTGGACTCTTCAGTTAATATTTCTTTAAAAGTAGTGTCTGTAACTAAGTATGTGTTTTGTGGTGAGACTTAACCTGTAGGACACAGTAATTTATGTGCACTGCTACATGGTTATATACAGGCTATTATATTCTGATATTCTAGAAATTAAATGAAGGCAAGTTTTTCTCTCTATTCAAAAAAAAAAAAAAAAAAAGAAATAGATAAGAACCACTGAGAAAAGCAAAGGTAGAGATAATAGCGGAAAATATAAGTGTTTTCTTGTGGATGTTAAGAAGTCAATGAAATAAATTCACAAGTCAAAAGAGACAAAAAAGTCAAAATGGTCGTGTCAAAATTGAATCCAAATGGACGTTTTTGGCAGGTGTCAAATTCTTTTACATCTGTTCAGGGCTGATTTAATCTTTCTGCCTGTGAGAAGAAGTAGCAAATAAAAAAATAGACATGCCTTCTTGTTATAAGCCTTACTAACTTTTCTTTTAATCTTTCCTCTAATGTGTTTGTTCTCTCCAATTCTGCATTTTGATGTCAGAGTAGGTGATGCTTCATCTCTTCTGCAGAGCAATTTAAAAAAGTAAGACAGAACAATCTCCATGCTATGTCCATAATACCTAATTGCTTAAACACTACTCTTATCTGTGCTGTGCTGTTCTGACCTATTCAGATAAGAACTGCTCAATTATATGCTTTCCAGAGTGACTGAGGTCGAACAAAGTAAATGGGAAAATACAACCAAAAATCGGTTAGTTGATAAGGCGAGGAAGCAAACTGTTGAAATACTGGGTGTGATATGGATTTTTTTTTTTTGACATTCAGACTTTCTTCTTCCTTTTATGTACAGTTCTAAATTCGAAGACGTCAAGAAATTATTTGGCTTGAGGTACTAAATAATGCTGAGTCACCACTAATTTGGTCCTTGTGCCACACAAAAAGGGAAGATAATGCTGTTAAAATTCAAGCACACTTTTAAATCTTTTAGTCATTTTGCTTTTACAAAAACTTTGCTTCAGAAAAATATTTTAATTATCTAAATAGTACTGATAATTTAGAAACATAAATACACTTTTGCAATTAAATTTAGACTTAATAGTTTCCTCTATTTTTGTAAGTTTTTTTCTCTTAAACTTTAATACATTTTCCATATAACTTGTGAAAAACTGCTTTTAATATAGTGTTTTAATACATGGTATACAAGTCATTATAACATGTAATATCCCTGTAAAGTAGACAGCTTACAGTGTACACAGCTTTATACTTAATAACCTATGAAAATATTATTTAAAATACATGTATTTTTACTCTTTCTTTTTACTATTAAAGTTACTGTAGTGTAAGATAAAAATATGTGCATATGTTTAAAATTATAGCTAGTCTTCAGAGTATCTGAAAATTCTTGTATACCATAGGAAAAAAAATAAAATCTAAAATAACTTTTTAATGCAGGAGTAATGGCCTCAAATGCATGTCCTGGTGGAAACATACCTTGTCTTTATTTCATAGGGTAATTTTTCTCAGTAGTACTGTCTAACAATTCTGCTAATGACAATTTCTTATTTTCTAACAGTTTAAACATAAAAATATATGAATCATCCTTAATTATATTGTTTCAATGTACTTTGTGGGAATTCTTTTCCATTATGTTGCTCTAGCCAACACTGCTTAAGTTAGTTGTTTCTTATAAGGTTGATTTATGGTGAACCAAAAAAACTGATATTTTTCCTGTAATCACACACTGATTTTGCAGACAGAGATAACCAGAAACATGTGTTAGAAAATGGATTAAGTTAGTATAATAATGAACTACATGTCATTATACATTTACTGTACCTACAGATACCGAACATAGATTCTGGTCAGTATTATACCACAAGTTGTATACTGTTTTAGATATAACACAGCTCTCTGAGATGAAGATGATGCTATACCTACAGGATACTTCAATCAGTTTTCTCTCAACTTGGCTGGTGATACTGTGGAAATAAGAAGAAATCAGAATAGTGAAGCACATCAATTTTCAATATATTTTTTTCTATGATTAATCTTTAATATTTCTATCAATGAAAACTTTTTTTCCTTCAGAAAAAAAAAGAAACCTATATTGAATTCCTGAATCATCTTAGTCCAGGATCTCCATGTCTCTCTTGAACTGAGAAGTCCAGATCTGAACATAGCACTCCAGATGCAGGGCAGAGTAGAGGGGCAGGACCACCTCCCTCGACCTGCTGGCAATACTGTGTAGCCTAGAACTGCTGTTTAATATGTCTAAAAATCAACTGTTCCAAACAATTTTAACGACATAAAATTGTCCTCCAAACCCTGCTGATTGCTATATTTGTTTTCCAATAGAAAATACAATCTGAATTAACAAGCCACGAGATTAGTTTGGAAGAAATGAAGAAACGAAACCGGGGTAAAGATGCTGCCAAAAGAGTGCTTTCCCAAATTGATGTGGCACAGGTATACAAATTTTATTTCCTCTGTTTTTCCTTCACTCATTCAAACGACCAGCATGAGTAGTACTATTATTGTAGTATGAAGTGTTCTTAAGGTGTCTCTTCTGTATTAGCTGCTGCTTTCCAGCCAAGAAATTAGAGTGGATAAAACCATCCATATCTTCGTACTGCTCATTTTTTATCTTACAGACTTCCTGTCTAGTTGGCAACAGTTCTAGGGTGCACAGAGGTGACATAACCAACTGGTAAGGGCACTGTATAATAAGGGGTGTTTTGAATTTGCTGCAATTGCAAGAAATAAAACTACAGTGAGGCTTTTTGATATACCTTTTGAGGTATTTGAAAATGTTTACAGTGAAAAGTATGTTAAAATATTTAGAAATATTTAGTAGATCTGCATTTGAAATACAAATTATGCTGAGCAGTGCAATGCAGACGACAGATTAAAATGTTAGCTAATGATTATTTCACCTAGCTTAAAAGACATAGAGAGACCTTAACCCTAAAGAAAAATACCTATTTTTACCCATTAGTGATGGGTTCTTGACTATTTTGCCATCTTTTTTTATTTTTTCTTTGACGTTAGTGCCAAAGTTCCTCAGGCTGCAAAACAAAGGTCATCATTCATTAGGAAAAATAACTTTATTATGGCGGTCTTTTTCTTCATATCTGTCAAATATTTCTACATATCTTAGTTTCAGTTTTATTTTTTTTATTATGGGTAACACTGAAGGCTTTTTAGAAGTTAATTAATTTGAAATTAACAAATTGATTTTTTTAATGTTTCATCTTCGCTACAAGACCAGCATTTCTTTCCTGATAATATTTATATTTCTGTATTTTTTCTGTGTTCCTTTACACTAAGTCAGATTCTGACGGTCTCCATGGCAGCTGTGAAGTTGCCCATATTTCACCAGTGAAATGGAGACATCAGATGACTGTGTATCTAAACGTTCCTAAATTCAACAGCATGCAAGGGAGCATTACCTTTTCTAAGTGCCTTTTTTTTAATAATCCATCTCTATGCAGATATTTTTCTTTGTGAGATTTGTCTAGATGATGATATGCACCAGCTTGAGTTTTGAGAAATTGGCAGGGTCATCTTGAGACTCTACTTTGCCAACATCAGATAAAATATAAACAAAAAAATAGTAAATTTACAGGCCTAATGTAAATATCAACTACCAAAACACATAAAAGGTGAGCCCTTTGTTAAAAATATTTATGGCTGTATTTGATTTTAGGCCAGTGAACTCTCTGAATTCTTTTAGATCGTCAGGCAATATCTTTAGTGGTAAAATACATTTCACAAAATGTGTTGTGGTTTACTATTTTCTAAAGAGTATTCTCACTTAGAAACACATAATGCATGCATTTCCATTTTTTGTCACTAAGTAATAGTTCTAATTTGGCATCTTTATTCTAATATAAGTTCCATTACCTAGACAGAAAGTAAACAATTAGGAAAATAAGTAATTACATTAAGATTGTGAATTATTTATTAGCAAATTATTATGGTTTATTTATTAGCAAAATAAATTGTGGATTAGCAAAATAAAAAAAATATTTCTGCTAAAGTGATATAATTCCAAGTTAGCCATAATAAACTAAGAATTTTTACATGAAAGTGAATCTTTTCTAAGGAATGGCTATTTTTGGAAATTCAGTACTGAATACTTTGCTAGTCAACCTTTTGCATACAATTAATTTTACTCATCCTCAGTTGTCCTTTTCTAGACTATGTTAAATCCTACTGAGACCTCCAGATAAATAGCTTTCCTTTTCCTGTCATTTGTTTTAAATTTTCTGGTTTTAAGCTGTTTTCGAAACATGGTGATCAAAACTGAGCAGATTAGCTTTATACAATGACTTTTATACTGTGGCAGGTATTTTAATTTCTGTTTCCCTTATGTTCCAAATTATTCCAAATACCCACTTTGCTTGTTTTGCTGCTTGTAAGCATTGAGATAATATTATTTTAAAACCGTTGGAGATAAATATAAGTACATAATATGGCTGCTATATTTATCTGTTAGAACTCAAGTGAGAGTGCTAAAAGATAATTTAAATCCCAATTGCATATTGAATGTTCTTCTACATTGCCTAATTTCTAGGTGAACTCAAAATAATTTGCTTGTTTTTTCCTACAGATCCTCAGTACTGTGCAAGTCTGCAGTGACTCTTCACAGATGGCTTTAATTTTCTCTGCCATTGATACTGTCATTCTCCCTTTAATTCATTTTCTATGTATTGACCAACACAAATTGTAACAAACAGATGTGGCAATGCAAGCTTCCCACAGGACTTGATCTTTATCAAACTGAAGTGACACAAGAGGATGAAAAACTAATTACGTAGGAATTTAGTGTATGCGAACACACTGAAAAAAAAGACAACTTTTTCCTACTCTTTGTTTCCTGTTTTTATACAATTGTTCACTTATTTATATAGAGAAAGACTTTCTTCCTTACCTCATTGGACCTCAATTTCATAAAACGTATTTAATGAGGAAAGCTATTGGAGGGAGCTGCTAGATATCTACATCCTTTCCTGTGGCACCCAAAATTGTCTGTTCATGATTCCTACCTTCTTAGACTGATTCTGTTCCTTATCAGATTTTTTCTCGAATTTGTACAGGACAGACCACTTTGTAGTGGAATAAAGTGTCCAGAGTTGAAGATAAAAAAATCATGTGTGTTTGCAGATGCTGAATTCCTATGTAATTACTTATCTGTTTCTTAGTGACGTTCATTCTTTGTTTTAATCAAATAGTTGAAAAACTTATGCAATAATACTTTGCTCTGTACGTCCACAGAAAAATTAGTTCTTTTTCAAGTAGATAATTAAAATGCCCTCACTTTGCTTTATTTTTAATTATTTCCCCTCCCCCTGAGGTAGAGATCATGTGAGCAAGCAATATAATTAATGCACAAATATAACAAATTGTGAAAATTGCAAAATTAGAGGCAAAGCTTGCCATAGATTTTTCTGCCTTCAAATTACTTTCTTTTTGCTCTAGGTTAGGCTTTTTAAAATTGAAATATAAATCAATTTTATACTCTAAATCTCAGATTTTGTGCTAGACCTACTTACTTTATTTGGGTTTCTTTGGCGAACTAAAAGATTCATTCCTCATACCAAGAAGCAGCAAATGGTATTGTTGATGAGCTTTCAGTCTGCCATGTGGATGTCTTATGCTCAATCCAATAAATCTCTCTTCATCCCACAACCCCCAACACTTTGCATATTGAAAAATACAAAGCCTCTCCCTTTCTTCGTTTGTGTCTATGGGCTCTGCTCTCTCCGGTGCTCTGGAGGATGAAAGACTTTTTATCCTCTGGTGAAGACCAAGATTCTCTGCCACTGGCATTTTCCTCAAAAATTTTAAATTCTTTAAATAAGAAATTGCTGACTGATACTAGGTCTGGGTGCTCTGAAACAGGACTAAGACTTGATTTCACACTTACTGCTCACCCATATTTACTTTTCAGAAAAAGCTGCAGGATGTGTCCATGAAGTTCCGCTTGTTCCAGAAGCCAGCCAACTTTGAACAGCGCCTACAGGAGTGCAAAAGAATTTTAGATGAAGTGAAATTGCAGGTGCCCAAGTTGGAGATGAAGAGTGTTGAGCAGGAAGTAGTACAATCACAGTTGGATCACTGCATGGTGAATATTTATGTCTGTCTGTTGGATTTATGCTGAGAAAACTAAAAGTCATAGAATGTTGTCATTAATTCAGGATAAGAAACAAAGTATGAGATACACACACACACACACAGAATTCTCATTTCAGTGAACTTTCAAACAATAGGCATGCACTTTCACAATGTGAAAAGGCCAATTGTGATCCCACTAATTCCCACTTCCCATCTCGCATATGAGTTTATCTTCCTGGATTGGCTCTATTTTCCACAGTATTCTACATTCACAGGACCCTGTGATGTAACCAAAAGAGATGCTGCAGGGCACAAGTCTACTGTAGCCAGGAAACACAAAACATAATGAAAACCAGAGAATACAGCTTCCATGAGATGGCATGCTATGAATTTCTTACAGTTCAAGAGCTAAAGATGACCTGCATATGTCCTAAAGAATATGAGGAAAATCTGTACATAACCCATTAATACCCTTATAATCCTGAAACCCTTTACTCTTGAAAGGAAGTAAAGCTAAAGGTGAGCACTATGTACTTGATGATAATAGAATAGATATTTTAACAGCAAAAATCATCCTGTTTTTTTTTTAAGCTGAGAGGATTTTGTGAGTTTTTTGTTTGCTGGTTTTTGGATTTGTTTTTTCTTGGGGCAATGACATGCCTGAAGAATTTTTTTCCTCTCTCAACCTCTTTCAGATAGAACTTAAATTAAAAAATAAGCATGGAATGAGTCAATGTTATTTCTTTACATCTTGGGTTTTTCTTAAATGAAGTTGCTCTTAAATTCACATTCTTTTTAGAATGACATGGTAATTAGAAGCTCTGTACTGAATTAAAGTGTCTTCACTCAGCAGCTGGATTTTGCAGCCCTGACATATTTTGTGGGTCATACAACATACAACACATAGTATGGGTCATACAACGTATTCCTAATTTGCTGAAAGTTTTCAGTGATGAAGAATATATTTAGCATATTAAGCACCTAGAAGGCAGTTGGGCTATATACATACTACCTTTAAGTTAAAAAAATCCTAACCATTTTAAGAATTGGCTTGGTAGTTAAATTTAGATTATGGAGAAAATGCACTGTTCTGGCTGGTTTTTGTCAGATTTGCTGAAAGAAAAGTCTTGTCTTTACTGTCCAGACATGCTAGAGACAGATTTTACATAGTGGGAGATACTGCTACTAAAAGAAAAGCTAAAAAAAATAATGATGAAAAAAGTACAGTGTCATTTATTTTGCAGTTTTGTATAAGTACACAGGACAGTAAATTTACTTTTCAACACATGATGGCAAAATGCTGGAACACAGACTTAAGCTAAACTTCTCAACATCTTCATATGTGCAGTTCTTCACATATCTGTGTGGTAATGGACACTGTGTATCTCTGAGGAGTCTTTTTTCATTGTGAATGTTAGTAGAATTTCCAAGCCGTGGCAGAATTTATTCTTAGATTAAAAAGAAAAATAAATTTAACTTCTGCGTTATTTACATGAATGTTAATTGGCCATTTATGAGGCTGTTAAAGATACCAAATTTCTGCATATAGAAAGAAAGAACCCTTTTGTTGTTCTTATTATCACTCATTTGAAATGTTAGGAAAATATATTGTGTTTACAGATTGCTTGCATGCCATCACTTACTGAACAGCTGGTTTTCCCTTAATTTTTGCTTTTACTTGAAATAGTGCAGGAAAATGCAATGAATTGTATATTTTACATTAACCTCATTATGTTGCTTTTTTATTTAGTTTTTTTTAATTGATAACTTTTTTAACAGTATAACACTTATTAAATGTAAGAGTAATCTTCTATCCTTTCAGTCTCTTGATTTAGTAATATGAAAAACTGTCAGATTTTAAAATTAGTAGCTATTTGTAGTTCAAATACATCCAACAATCTGTATGAGTTGACAAAATACATATGCTGTTGTTTTAAATACTGAATTATCTAAATCAGTTTGAAAACAACCTTTGCCATATCTTAAAACAATTGGTAATGGTGTGTACTTTCTTATGTCTAAATAATGGCTTGTCTTTGAGGTTACTGTTAGCAAAGATGGTCTATTCTGCATCTGTTAATTTGACTTCTGGTTTAGAAATTAATGATTTTTTTCCCCATAAGCTTTTTTAATACACACACTCAGGGTGAGTTTTCTCTATCATCAGGCCAAATCCTTTAACTTTCAAGTGGGAGTGGAAGGTGCTCATCCATGATGGTTCTTTTATGCAGCAAATAATGCAAAGTGTGCCTTCAATGGTCTTTCCTAGTTTTCATATTTTAATGGTTGTGTTTTGTCTTTATATTTCTGTTTGATTAGAAATTATATAAAAAGCTGAGTGAGGTGAAGTCTGAAGTGGAAACAGTAATAAAAACTGGGAGGCAGATTGTTCAGAAGCAGCAGACAGAGAACCCCAAGGAACTGGATGAAAGGCTTACAGCTTTGAAGTTGCAATATAATGAGTTGGGTGCAAAGGTAAGCTCTATGTTTTTAATACAAAGCTACGTGTTCTTTTTAACTGGCAAAGTGAAGAATAATCTTGGTAGGGTAAGTAAATGTTGGGGGTTTTTTATCAGTTCCATTCATGGTTCTCCCATTTTCTGAAGAGTGGGACAGAAAAAACGGAGTCAATCCTCAGCATGGCTATTCAGTTGCTGTGAGGAAAAAAAAAAACAAACCAAACAAACAAAAATCTAGGAAAATATAAAATTCTTTTATTAAAATTTAAAATTACACTTTCTTAATAATTTTTTTTCTACTAGTTCATTGGTTTTTAGAGGTCAGATGGGGGATGCTTTTTCATTTTAATGCTGAAACAATCACTTGTTTCAAAACACTTTGCGTCAGAAAAATGCTTAGATTGTTTTGCTTAAAGAACTACTTCATTAAAGAGAGAATTCTGCCTTTTAATTCCCTTCCACCTCTGACTGTACAGATCTTAAAGTATGTTATGTCCATATCTTGTGGTTCAAAAATCTATTGATCAAAAAGTTGTTGCCACTGCAGCTTTTCTCAGGAGGCATCTGTGTACCACTGTGCTTTGTGGCTTCTGCAGACATGACCACGCCTGTGGTCAGTTTTTGTTGTAACCATTCCCTGATTTAAATGTCAAGAACAACCCTGACTTGCATTTTCACTATATCTTAATAGGTAAGCCACGCCCCAATGGGAAAATGTTTTGTTTACTCGATTTCCAATGGGAAAAGAAACCATATGTCAGTCCATAAAGGCGTTTTATTCTCAGTCTGCATTATCACTGGAGTAAAGTACAATGCACTTACAAGGACCTTGGAGCGCTGAAGAGGAATTCTGGCACTGTCCTAAAGATTTCATTTAAATAATTCAGTTAACAATTATCCCTCTTTACTCTGTTTTCTTCCTCTTGCTCTCATTAGAACTATTCACAGAACTTATAAAAACTGTAGGATTAGAGTAAACTTGCTGTGACTAAATGACTGAAGATTGTGAATGACAGATACACCTGTCTGTTTATTTCTAAAATTTATAGACTCAAATATAAAAAACTAGACAGGAGGCAAATTCTTAATTTTTTTTAGATTATAAATTATTCAAATCATATATTATTAATAGCTAGGAAAATGAACCCATAGTAATACTGAGAATCAGTATGTGGTTTAAACAGATAATGCTGACTGCAGTGTGATAAAGCAATAAGAGTTATGTTGCTTTTGACAGAGATAACACTTATTTGGGAATCTGAATTTAAACAGTTCTCTCTTGCTGGAAGATAAAGGGAGCAAGAGACATCAATCTTTTGAGTGTCAAGAAAAGTGGAGAGTCTCCTTCATTAGGTGTGGAAAGGTGTCATTTGGGATTGGATAACATGTTTGAGTTCTCCATTATTTTAGAAAGAACTGTGGCATTTATTCCTTCATTATGTTTAACTTAATAGCAAACAGGTGCCATTGTTACAGGAAACCTCTCTTAACTAATGAAGGGATAAAAATGTGCCATTAGGGAGCCATTAGTGATCTGAAGTGAGCCAGATTGCAAATTAATTTGTCTCAAAAATCTGCAGTGCTGTGTTTAACTCTGTTGTCCTAGGTGTGATTTCCCACATTTACTTTTACGTAGCTTGGTAATTAACAGTTTTAGAGAAAGTCACAGAAGCCCAGAGATAAAGAAATAAAAGCATTGGTTAGCCATTATCAGCCCTAATTGATTGCATTGAGAAAAAGTTTTTTTAAAAGAAAACTAATAATAGTTATAACTAATAGTAAACCTCAGGACTGAAACGTATGGTCTGAGGGGAAGACGCGTCTTCAAGCGCAGACTCACTTTTGTGATTTCATAAGTACTGCTTCAAGAGGTCTCCTCATATAAAAAGTACCTCTTAATCACATTATATGACCCAGAAAGCCTTTAGAGGGCACTGTTTCCTATTTTTCTTTAGAAAATACGTCTATACATTTGAAGTACTAAGAAACTGATTGATCAGTAATCTCTGGATATATACAATGTATATGGAAATATTGTAGTATTGTTTATGTAATAAACAGAATTTATATATATACATAGCAACACAAATATTCTCTCTCTGTTTGACATGTATCACTAACTTCATTTTCTAATATACCAGGTGTTTAGAATTCTTAGACAGGCAGTTACCCTTAATGCACTTTGTACTGTATTGCAGCTAAATACCTGCAAATAGTTATTTAAAATTACTATTAGGACTCTTCAGAAGAAGAGGTGAAAAACATGTGCAATCCTGGCTCCTTGTGTGAATGGAGCTCTAGAAAACTGAGTTTTATGGTCCTTCCCAGGGATTTACCTCTTTGCCTGACTGTAAGTTCTGTGGTCTCATTTAATAAATTTAGCACGCAAGAAAGCACATAAAGCATTATTCAGTGAAGGAGAAATGTTCTGAGATTTTAGTAGTAAGCCTCTACAGTGGGATAATAAATTATAAGGAACACTTTACTGCTTATTCCCTGGGCAAATCTCATCTCTTTACTCAGGGATAGCAAAAGCCATGTACCTAACCTTGTAACATCCTATTACATTTTAAAACCTCAAATTCTCCTTGGCAGTCAAGCTAGGAATCAGTTTGATCATTGTACCACTACTTGTTCTCGGTGGCAAAGTCCAAAATAGCTTTAGTACATACTGAAACCAGTTTTGAATACCTGACACCACTGTGGAATTTTTTTTTCTTTTTAAAAATACTTAAATACAAATCAATGGCTACAGTCTTACTTGATTGCTAATTGACATGCAAGGGAATTAGTAATTCCTTTTAAATATTAGTGATCTATGGGACACTCTTAATCCTCGTACTCTGATTTGTCTTTTTTAAACTTCATCACAATATGATTTATTAATTTGTATTTTCTGACTACTAGTTGCCTAATGTCCGTTGTGGTGTAGTTTCCCATCAGAGACCTCTTCATTTACTCTTCTGCCTTCTCTACTAATTATATGGAACTTTTTCTTGCAGGAAAGGTTGTATTTTCCTTATTCTTCCAGGTTACACCAACATTCAGTATAAGACAATCAAGGCAACATAAATACTCAGCCTTCCTTCTAGGTACCATATAACATGCTTAAAAGAACTTTACGAATAAAGCAGGGGTTGTTCATTGTAGTTCACATCCAAAATATTCAGAAAATAAAAAAACGTAAAGTTAACTGTGCTGCCTTAGTTTGACACTGTTTGTTGACTTCTGTGTCAGACTTGAGGGTTTCTTTAACTGGTGTGTTTCCTTTCTATGTAGCATAGCTACATAGAAAAAAACCTTGAGGAATTCCTATCCCTATATCACCACCTACATTAAAATATACTCTGAAAGGTTATGACCTCTGTTTTGTGTCTCAAGGAAAGCCTGATAGTTCAGTTGTTCCAAATTAATTTCCTGTGCACGGCATCAAAACAGAGGAGGAGGTTTGCAGAGGTCTGTTGCTAGTTCAAACTCCATGGGTATTTATGCACATAATTTTAGTGTAGGTGTTTTGCATTCTAGCAGCAAAACTACTGATACCGAGAGAACTAAGGCAAGACCCAACTGTATTATAAGTGCATCTTCACTTGTGAAATTGCAAGTTCAGTTTTAATGGAAAAGTGGCACACAGAAAATGGTGTATAAAAATCATTAAGCCTTTTTCACTGGAGGATTAATAACCACAAGTTTTCTTTCTGCAGGTGACAGAAAAAAAGCAAGAGTTGGAGAAATGCTTGAAATTGTCCCGGAAACTACGAAAAGAAATTAATTCTATGACAGAATGGCTCGCAGCGACAGACGCAGAACTGACAAAGAGATCGGCTGCGCAGGGGATGCCGAGCAATTTGGATGCTGAAATTGCCTGGGGCAAGGTAACAATGTAACACACACATATGCACATTACAGAAAGATGGATTTCTTTCTCGATAAAGAGAAATAATTAAAAATTCTGGCATTTTAATTGGTGGAACTTTGTAAATGTTGTGGCACTATCTCACCCTAGCATTAATACTCAGAAAAGTTCAAACCATCTTGTCTCTGCAGGTATCAATAGCACAATTCACCTTGGTATTGCAATAATCTTCACTGAGATGAATTTAAAATTAGAATTTAATTTTTTAGACTACTATAAATTACCCACCTTTTATCTATCTAAATAGAGATCCCTTTCTTACCCCATTCTTCTCATAATTAGAAAAGTATTAAATGGTAGATGAAAGACTGAGGGTGCCAGAACATTATATGTTTCACATTTTCAGATAGCAGCCAGGACATTTGTTTTCTTACTCTTTTAGACTTGTAGCTCATTTGTTTTTGTTCTGGGAGCTTCCTACTTCCATGAGACTTCACCTTGAACTCATATTTTAGGTTAAAACTCAAAACTTTCTTCAAAATCACAGTGTAGATAAACATCTTACAGAAATGCTGAGGAATGTGAGAGTTCTATATAAAACACAGTATCTCTGTGTGATGTTAGGACTCAGCACTAGCTGATCTGTTTTATTTTCTGCGAATGTAATAAAAATCCAATCTGAGAACATAAAACAAATCCTCATTGTTCACAAATACCGAAATCTGCATTTTAGAGCAAACTACGCTCAGCATTTTCCAAGGCTTCAAAATTCCAAATAATTGTGTGCATACAGCAGTATTTCAAAGAAATGTTCCTATATAATTTCAAAAAGAACAACCAAAATCCCCTTAAACAGTATTGGGGTTTTGTGCCAAAAAATTTGCCCCTTGTGCTTTGTTTAATAAGAATCCTTTAAACATTTTAGTAGTTTCACTATGCATTATAGATATAGTCATGAATAATACAATACACATGCAACCTTACTATGTTTTTTTAAAGACAGTGAAGATTAAAGGCACCTGAGTAAAATGTGGTTTGTGGTTTGGGTTTCTTTGCGAGGTTTGTTTGTTTGTTTGTTTTTCAGACTCTAACTGCCTCTTTCAAGCTTTCTGGCTTGATATAGTGTCTTTATACTTAAAAATGCACTGGTGATTTGCAAACTAATAACAATAGTAGAATAATAACGACACAACAATTAGAAAAAGGCAGTCTACAAGTCTTTTGTGAGATTTGGAATTGGGTTTTTTTTGGTCATCAGCCTTTAAGAAAGACAGTATTTTAAAAGTAATATCCAAAAATATAAAATTTTGCTCTTATTAACTTACAATTACTGCTTTGACTACTGCTACTTTCAAATCAAAACCTAAATCCCTAGAAACCCCATTGTTCTCTCCTCTTGTTGCCTAATGTTTTCTCATTTTCATTTGCAGCTTTTCCTACAGTAAAGTTTTTGCAGTTCTTCTCCTTCCTTTTGATTGATATTGTGATCTTACAATCATAGAGTCATTAAGGCTGGAAAAGACCCCTGAAACCACTGAGGCCAACCTTTGGCCAAACACCATCATGACAACTAAACTACAGCACCAAGTGCCACATCAAGTTGTTTCTTGAACACTTCCAGGGATGGTGACTCCACCACTTCCCTGGGCATCCCGTTTGAATGTGTAACTATTTTTTCAATGAAGAAATTCTTTCTAATATCCAGCCTGAACCTTTTCTGGTACAGCTTGAGGCCATTTCTTCTTGTCCTGTTACTCATTGCCTGGGAAAAGAATCTGACTCTCACCTCTCTACAATCTCCTTTCAGGTAGTTGTAGAGAGCAGTCAGGTCCCCCTTGAGCCTCCTTTTCTAGGGAGCTAAACAACCTCAGCTCCATCAATCACTCCCCATATGATTTACTCTACAGACCCTTCACCAACTCCACAGCCCTTCTCTGGACATGCTCCAGCACCTCAATGTCTTTCATGTAATGAGGGACCCAAAACTGAATGCAGGATTTGAGGTGCAGCCTCACCTGTGCTGAGTGCAGGGGGAAAATCACTTTCCTGGTCCTGCTGGCCACATTAATGTTGATACCATTGGCCATCTGGGCACATGCTGGCAAATGTTCATCCAGCTGTCAAACAGCATCTCTAGGTCCTTTTCAGCTCTGCAGCTTTCCAGCCATTCTTCACAGCCATAAGAAGGCACAGGTGTCAGATTTTTAAGAGATGGGTCATAAAATTATATTGTTTTAATGTCCCCAAACTACCCTGCTAGGTATTCAGGCCATTTACCCAGTCAAAAAAATAAAAATAATCTTTGGTGCTGTTAAACTACACTGTACAGTTCTACTGGAACACATACACACAGCATGTACCTATATGTGCATTCAGGAAAGTTGATCTAGGTGTATATAACTTCACAGTAGTTTAAAAAGAAATATTTATCCTTAATATAATTTAATTGTTAGATATGAAACTTAATGCTTCAGAAGTTGCATAATTAGAAACCTAAAGCCTGATCAGTGATCAGTGCTGTTACCCAGTGGGAAGTCTTTGTTGTGTCTTAAGCTTATAACAACAAGTACAACATATTTTTATCTAAAGGCATTTTAAAAAGGTAAGAACAGTTAATTAAAATAAGAAATATTAACATGAAAAAATATATCAAATGGGAACCACTCCTCCTACTAATCTTAAAGAATGCCATTGAGTTTTGTGAATTCTCAGAAGGAATTGATACATAAAGTTTTGCAGGAAAAACTGGTAAAAAGGGTATTTTGGCTTCAAATCCTGCCCAAAACCTTCACTGTAGTCCAATTTCATATAGGACATCAGCTCTTCACCTTCAGTCAGTTCATAAACAAACAACTTTGCATGAGAGAAGCTGCCTTATTGCAGAAGTATGTATATAATGAGTGGCTTTCAGAATTCCATTATTAAGATTCTTTTGTTTGGAAGTATAGACCAATATTCACATATATACAAGCAGACTTTAATTTTGAGTGGTCCAACAGATAGTATAGGTGGCAAACCCTAGCCTTAAAAATGTAAATATTTACAGAAATCGTGAGGAATATATTTTTCCTAAAAACTCTGCTCCCACTAGGAGGCAGAAAGCGCTGCATTTTATCCTGGACACTTTAAAATTCTCGTGAGGACTTCATAAGTAAGTACGATGCTGATACTCCTACGTGGATTTCACTGAGGCATCACACAAAATCATACATCAATAATTTAGTCCCCAGAACCAGAGCCTCACAGTATCTGATTGATGTTGCAGCTTTGGGCTTTGGACTTCCCGGGTAAGTGGGCTGCCAAAGACAGTAACCAATCTAATGAAACGCACTGGGAGATGAATTAAGCCCAACAGATTCCCATTGTGAGAAAAGTCTGCAGAAAAACTAAGTTGGGAAATGGAGAGGGAGAGAGGAGAATTCAATAGTGCGAATAAACTGAAAATTGGATGTGTGCTGCTGTCTATATATCTAAGCAGAGAGATCATAAGATTTTTTTCTTTAAGGCATGAGGAAGCATTATATGTATTAGTGCGCTTATTTTTAATTAATTTTCAGCAGCCAAGACTACTCAAAGGACAAAAGAGCACACAGGGTTCCAAAGATAATTATAGTTTAGAATAAAAAATTTAAAAACAATGAAAAAAAATCATACATGTGTACACTGTCTTCAGGGTATAATCACCTAGAAATATAAAAAGAAATGTCCATCTTAAGTAAGAAATTATGTAAATGAAACATAGCATTAATCTGGACATCAAGGGAAGTGTGTCACTTATTTGTTCCTGTCTCAAATTTTTCTAAGGATGGAACAAAAAGCTTGTCTGAGTTATGTGAAATGAGATGGGCAATATACTGAAGACTGTAAATCCTGCCTTTCTGCTCAGTAGAGACAAGCTAAATCTTTCCATTTGAATTCAGTTCTGTTATAATAGATAAGAAAAATGGCATGTGGGTGGAAAGACAGTCATTAAACATTGTATATTAGAAATCCGCTTATAATTAGAAGTCTGATTTAGTGAACATACTTCTCACTGAAGACATTAACTACTGCAGGGTTTATTTGTCTTTTAATCAGGAACTGGACTGATAAGAATTAGATTGCCAGGAAACCATGTTCTTAAAAAGGAAATGGCAGATGGTATTACCAGGACAATTCTGTATCACTCCCTACTATCAGCAGTATGAATTTGCCAATGCTTTAATCTGATTTTTTAATAAAGTGTATAATGCAAATGAGTACAAAGTTGACTTGAAGTACTTAGAATTACATTTAGCAACATATTTCCTGTCAGTAAATTCCACAAAAAAAGACAAACTGAAGCTCGTGTCAGCTGATTCATAGTCAGTGGCCAAAATGCAGTAAAAATAAAAGATGTGCTGAGAATAAACAAATAAATATATATTTCCAACCACTGAGAGGACCATAATGGCAACTTCTGAATAATTCTGTAATTCCAGTTGTGAGAGATGAGCCACCTAATTTCTTTTAGAAAAAGACTCAAATTGTAAAGTTTACTTACTAATAATCCACAGCACATAAGCAATGTACAAGCAAACAGAACTTTTCTTCACTCATTCATTATTGTTAAATTTTTTAATCTAATGACCAGCATGATTACAATATTATCTTCTCCATTTAGTTACAATTTCTGGTTTGTTTGAAAAAAACATTAGCAGTTCAACTTGATACATAGTAGGTAGCTTTATCACTATAAATTATAGCACAGAAGCCCTCTGCACCACATCCTCAGAAAAAAGTAATTTCTATGTAGCTTCTGTTTCCAAATATAATTAATTTTTAGTTAGAATTTTATGATGGAAGTGAGATATAAAAGCCATCACAGTAAACCAAAACCGTCAGGTAAGAAAACCCAAACAGTTGTAACAAAAACCCCTGCAAGTATTTTTTAGTGAACTGAAAGATAAAGAATACGTCGCAGGATAGTGGGGTCAGAGACAGAACTGTGAACCCCACTCAAACTTTTAATAACTGAGATTTGAAGTATTGAGGAAGATGGCTTTTTCCCTTTGATGTTATGTTGAAGGCTACAATGATTTTTTAAGACACTGAGGGGAAGTGTGATTTACTTAGCTCATGTCCCTTACTTGCATAGGAGTGTTAAAATTCATATTGCCCAGAGGTGCACCTTGTTACATTATTTCTTTACATTATTTCTTTACTTTGATAGACATAACTCCTGGTATCAGTGAAAGCACTATTACACTTTTTTTTTACACATAGGGTAAATACCTCTGATTTTTGGGTAGTCGTTTTATTTAATAGATATTTAATTGTTCAAATTGTCTGTTTACTAGCTGGAATTAATATCTATTTATATAGCCCAAGACTGGTCTTCATTTTCATATATGTAAAATACAAAGAAACCATAACACATAGTAAATATACTTCAGAATTTCTTTTCCAATGAAAGTAAATAGTTTAGGAAAAGTAATAAAGCTAATCAAAGTTTTCTATCCTGAGTTGGAGGTAAATTATATTCCTTGTGTTATTCTTTTTTTATGATGGCACTCTGCACCTGCTGTGAAACAGATGAAATAGTACTAAAGAGGGCATGTTTTTCTTTAACCTAACAAAAACCTGCTGAAATTGGAAACTCTCTCTTTCAAATTCCATAATTATGTAGTATATAGTTAATAATTTGCATTAATCATATCTTGGCTCAATTGAATTTTCTCTGTATTTGAGAAAATTGATAGAATGCGGAAAAATTCTCATACTTAGATAAAATGCAAGTTTAAGACCTTTTCTGTGAAATAACAAAATTAGATCATGAATTCTGGTAAGCACAGAAAGTGACCTGCTACTTTAAGCATGGCATACACCAAATAAGTTGTAGGTACTCTTAAGATTGTATCCTACCAAAAAGAATAATTCCTATACTGTCTTTATCATAAAAAGAAAATTCTGCTTTCAGTAACAATACACTATCAACAAAATTATACTGATGTGTGGCCATGAGAGATATGATACTGTGGAGGTGATAAAGATGGAGTTCTACTGCAGTAACAGCATTGATCTTGAGATGGAAGAACTGTTTGTTTAGAAGTGGTGGGGTTTTTTACTGTGTTCAAGTTTCTGTGAGAAATCAGTGTCTCTGGAGACTGGTGCTTCTTACTTTTCTCCTAACTTCTGTTTGTGTTCAGTTTGGAATACTTCATTTCTAGTTGGAGCTTTATTTTATAAGCAGAGGTCTTATATGCCTGAATTGTTACTGTCAGGTGCCAAAGATCTCAGATAAATTTCTCTCATAAAACTGGTTATATGTGAAATGAGGTGTAAGGAATTTGTGCCTCTCCTTGAGTATTCAACAAGACTGCTGTACTTTTCACTGTGTCTTCTCAGCATTTAGTATTCAACTCCTGCTTTTTTACATATTGTCTAAATACATGGGGATTTACTCCTTTTGTTAAACTTCTTGCATGTTACAACAAATATTAAGACATGAATAACTAGTAAATTACATAACCTTACATATCAGATCAATAAATTAAGATAATAGTGGGAAGAGATGCTGGAAATCTCATTTTATAGGACTACATATGTATTTTAGTAATTTAATCTGAGAAGTGCTATAAACAATAGCTTATTTTAGTATTTTAGTTTGCAGAGTGAAATTATAAGTGAATGTAATGAAAATACGCATTTCTACAATTAAGAAACAAAATTAACAGGAGAAAAGAACATTGTTTCTTCTGAAAAAGATTGCACTGAAAAGTATTAAAGTAACAAAATATTCCATTAGACTATTTTCAATGGAGTTTTCTAAGTCTTTAGATGGTATCATGATGCTGTATTATTGTTCCATTTATTATTTCAGCTTTATTTGCTATTTATTAACTATGCAACTTTATTATATGAGAAATAATTTTAAACATCTCTCTATAAATATTATAAAAATGTGGATTAATTTTTAATAATTAAGTATTAAAACTATATTTTGAATGCTGAAATAGGGGATAATTCACACGTTAAAATTAAGCTATTAACAAAAAAGCTCATGAGAACATGAAGAACATTAACAGTTTTATCAGAGCTCAAGAGAAACAATTCACTTTGTACTTACTGCCCTTCACAGAATCCTTTCCCTTCCTATAGGAAGCAAGACTGTGTGTTCTAGTATGAACTTGCTGCCTGTTTTATTTTTCATGTCCTTAGTGTGGATCATTTTTAATTTCCAGAACTTTTATTTCTTATTCTGCTCATGTAGGCAACACGGAAGGAGATTGAGAAACGCCAGGTCCAGCTTAAGAGCATCAGTGATTTAGGAGAGAATTTGAAGACAGTGATGAAAGGAAAGGAAAGCCTAGTGGAGGATAAAATCAGCTTACTAAACAGTAACTGGATTGCGGTAACTTCACGTGCTGAGGAATGGTTCAATCTGTTACTGGTAAGGAAAATGCATTTGTTCACACAGGGGAAATGTTGTGTTCCATTGTACATGCCCAGCCTTATGGGATTGCTTTTTCTGGTTCCTTGGACTGTACTCATTGAATACACAGGTACACAGACAATCAGACTGGTTGTTGTTTTGTACGCTGTGTGTGTTTTAAGATTGTGATTGCTTACAGAGTGGAATCTTGATTGTTAGTCATTCCCATTCCTGTCTGTCTCTAGTTCTTAGACTGCTTTGGTTTGGTTTTCTAGTAAATGAAATGCAGTTTCTCCCCAAGGACAAAGACTAATATAAATCAAGTGAAAGAATCCGTCAAATAAGTAGAGTAAGTCTTGGTATTGATGCCAGCGACTTCAGAGGCAACTAACTCAAAAGCTCTGCCCACGTTGCACATCTGATGTACAAAAGAATTATGATCTGGTCTTTCAGAACTGCATGATCCTTCTCTGGATAGTTTTCTAGGGTATGTTCGGATGGGAATAATTCCTTAATGGGACTGGATTAAGCCTAGTAGAAAGTAAAATCCCTAATACACATTTAGTACAGATTCAGGAGCCTCAGCCCCAGCTGCTTCAAAATACTGATAGTCACATAACTTTATTGTACCTTAAAATTCATTCTGTCATAAAGAGATAACAGCTCAAACACTTAAACACAGAAGGGTCTTAACCACTGGACTAACAGAATGCTTTGGGAAATCTTACATGCTGCTTCTGTTCCTCAGAGCATGGGAATGCAGTTTCAACACGGAGAAATTGAAGTGATCCTCAAGGGTTTTTTAGCCTTTACATGACTTTTCAGAGCTTGATGTGTTTGAGCTCCACTAGAGTATGTATGGCTACATTACAAATGTTTCTGCAGTTGATATACAGCATCACTACAGGGTTTCCTCACCTGTATGGAGTATACAAGTGCAAGTATCTGGAAAACTTAAGCATTTCATTCAGCATGGTGCAGTTGCACAGATTCAATGTGGAACTGATTATAAGAAGCATATAACAGAGTTTACAAATTGATATAGTTATGTATTCCTATAGTTTCTCTCTCTGCTTGGATTCTGTGGTTAATATATTTACTAGAACCCATGATAAAAGGATCTAAGAGAGGTAGTGGGGTTTTTACCAATTTTTGAACTCCTTTGATCTCAGGTATGTGGTTGTACATATGTATTTTGTGGGATATGTGTAGGCCACATTGTAGTGAGGTCACTACAAAGAAAAAGCTTTTAAATTAAGTAGAAAAATGAAGATTTGTCAGAATATCAACTAGAATAGCTTTTTGAAAAGAAAAATCTCAAAGCAGAGAAGTTAGATGAAATTTAAATAAGGGGTTTAGATGCAAAGCCACCGTTCTTGATTGTGTCTTTGCAAGTGCATCTTTATTGCCATCTGAGTTTCAATCAACTTACTGTCTTTCCAAAATGAGCTCTGTATCTCATTCTTGGGAAAGTCTTCACCCCCAGTAGGGCTGGCTAACAGCTTCCTGTTCCTCTCAGCAGCCTCGCTGAGCTGCAGACACTGGCATCTTGCTGTGATTTTATCGTCCTCCTGCCTGTCACTTTGGAAGCTTCTCTCTCTCTCTCCTAGAATGTCTTTTTTAAGAGACTTCACATACAAAGTGAAGCAAACAAACAACAGATTCTATCCTTCACAGAACAAGCAGTTACTGTGTAAAATAAACAAGTTTTCAGTGTCATAATGTGTGCGTATTTGCCACAGTTGCTATAATTACAGCTACTATTTCAGTTCTGATTACATTTTTTGTATGCAGTATTTACCTTTCCCACATACAGGATTATCAAAAGCACATGGAGGCTTTTGATCAGAACTTAGCTAATGTCACAACTTGGATGTATCGTGCTGAAATACTGTTGGATGAATCTGATAAACAAAAACCCCAGCAGAAAGAGGAAATTCTTAAGGTAAAAAAATGTGATTTTCTGGAAAGCATTAATTTTATTCTAAAAAGGACTGTGTCAAAACTAGCATATTTTGAAAGGTATCACAAATTGATTAAAATTCTTTTTTTTTTTCTGTGCTAAAGCTACCCTCTGGCAGCTTGTAGATTACTTAATAAATTTTCTCTGTATTATACCAAAGTTAAATCCCTGCAGAAATAAAACCAGATTGTTATTATAAGTCTTGGAGACTTCCTGGTGAGTAGAACAGCAGCTTATTAAACATATGTCTGCTGGAAAAAACTCCTTAAACACAAAGTTTTGTTCTGATTGAACAAAATCCTTTTCCCTTCTTTTCTGTACCTTTCATTTTTAATTGTATTTCTATTTTTCTGTGATACTTTTCCAATATCTATGGTATCTGTGTCATATGATTGTTTTAATTCTATAAATACTGTTTACATTGATGCCAGACCAGCACCACAGACAATGGTGAATGTTATATGGTGAACTAGGTGTATAATCACGGGTTAGTATTAGTATTAATATTGCTCAGAAGGTTTTAATTGGCCAATTGCATCTTTTGGGCAAATGATGAAAAATTAGTCTGCAATATGTATGTGAATTTGAAAGTATCTTATTTAAAATACCTTCTTTATGAGCAACTTTAAATTATTATCGATATGGCCATTTTTTTCTTCTGAAATCAGTGTGAAAATTTACTTTGTATTGAACTCCATGGTCAGGATATACTATCTGAGAACAGTTTGCAAATCAAAGTCAGAATTGTATTGCTGACACTAACATAATGATGCCATTTACTAAAGCAAAACTTTACAAATTCCAAGGCAGAGCATAAATCAATGCCTCATTGATCTCAGCAGGATTATGGGACTGGCTTTTGTAGTTGAATGAACAATTTTTCTACCATCAGATACAAAGTAAAATTATCTTTGACACCAATGCTGGTGTATATGTTTGTATTGCACAAAGGTATTTCATGCAGACAATTAAATGTAATTCTCAATGCCTGCTGTGTTCATGATTCCTGAATGCCTTGCTATCTTTCCTTTTTGCCTCTGCCCATCCTGGAATCTACTGTTAAGATTACTATTGCAGAGGATAAAGACTTTTGCCCTCTTTGCTCTTTTTTTTTGTAATAGACTTATAGAAAAAATTACCAGTTTTTTAGCTGGTCATTTCTACCTGCCTGAACTATGCCCATGAACAGTAATGAAAGAAACAACTATACATCCAGTTCCATAATGCATGAATTAGCACCTCTTTCTAGCTTTAGGTACATAGAATAATGAAATATGAAATAACCTGACATATGCTGCAATGTTGTTGCAGATAAGAATCTGCCTGGAAATAATGATCACCATTAATTTCCTCCAGGAGATATTAAAACAGACATGTAGATACGTTCCTCCTATAAATTTGAGGGACATGAGTGGGAATGTTATCGAATGTATTTCTGCTGGATTTACACACTCATGCATAATTATCTGAATTTGCTTTGTGGTTTTGCTCCCTATTCCTTTGCACACTTTCTCTCTCTCTCTCTTTCTCTCTCTTTGCATTTATTACTAACTTCAAGCCCTGTCTCTTGCTCACGGACTGTAGCGCTTAAAGGCTGAGCTGAATGACATTCACCCAAAGGTGGACTCTGTGCGTGACCAGGCGATGCACTTGATGACAAACCGTGGGGATCACTGCAGGAAAGTAATAGAGCCTAAACTATCAGAACTCAACCAGCGATTTGCAACTCTATCACAGAGAATTAAAAGTGTAAAGGTAGGAGGACTTGATTCCATAAGGAGATGCATTAAAAAAATGGCATTTATACCAGGTGTGCAATTGCAACTATGTAGTGGGCTTCAGTTTCTCCCAAAACTGAGCTTTTGAAGGAAAACAACATAAAGCCTAACAATATATTTTTTTCTTAGGTGTGAAGTTTGGGGATTTTTTTTAACTGTTTCACAATTAGAAGTATTCACTGACTTTATATGAATGCAACGATTATTATTTCATTAACTTACAAAAAATGAACATCTGAGAATTAGTAAGATTCTTTAGCTTCTCAAAGTATGAGTAACCTTTTTTTATATAGGTTGGGCTTTGAGAGCTAATTCTTCGTTAAATGCACTCAGTCTTTTCCTGTGAGTGTGATTCACGAAGGTTTGAGATAAAAACACGTAGATGGAGGTTGTATCAATTATACTTCAACTACTCATTTGTACAACTAATTTGATTATTGAATCTGAATTCAGTATGGATTAGATAATTTTTAGCCAACTGAGTGTGACTTCTGAATTAAATGAGGAAGGACATAAGCCACCTACTTTCTCCATTGTATTTGCTGCCTTTATTTTGAAGAGCTACTCAGCAGATTAAATCAGGCTGTCATGCAGGTTGGTATGTAGGATAATGGGAATATTTGGATCCTGCTCTGAAGTATTTTTGCTGATTACTTTAGAAACACTGGAAATAAATGCACAGAGGATCCATGGCAAAGCAGGAAATAAGTTTTGCAAAAAGCATAAGAGAAGAGACATGGTTTTCATGAGTTGTTTAGGGACTATGCAGGGTTCAATGCCTTGACTGACCAACACACCTTTGTGAATATTTGGGTTTATTTAGGTTTCATTTCTGAAACAAAAAAATAACCTGTGCTCTGAATGAAGTTTTTTCTGTTTTTTTTCTTGATGGTCATCAGTAGTATTTCAGCCATTCCAGTGTGATTCTCACCTACTTCTTACACAAGTATAAACTGTAGACTGAGGACATCTTGGCAAAAAGCCCAAACAACTGTGTTGTCTGATGTTTTTACTCTGAACATCTGCTGTCTGCAGTCTGGATTTCTGTCTCAGTTTTACTTTGCACTTCCATGATGCTGTAAGCACACAGAGCTGATGCAGCCTTTGATAGGGTCCTGTGAAATTATTACCTGTATCAGGGAAAAGTGGGACTGTCTGTAAATGCCTAAAAATGCAAACAAATCAGCTGTTTGCATTGCAAGTTGTGGGCTCACTCAGAGAAGGGAAAAAAAGTTACATTTCAAGATGAAGTGTCTTCAGAAAACAGCTTGCAAACGTCTTTCACCTGGCAACCTTCTCTCTCAGGTGTTCTTCCGTTTATGATTGTAGAGCCAAGATGAGCTGGAATGGCAGTACCACAGTAAGCTTTATAGAGGATGCACTTAGCAAGATGAGAGGAGTTACAACACTACACAATTATAATGGTAAATTAGAATTTAGGGTACCTTTTCCAGGACCTTAGGGAATGGAGAGCTAGAATATGATTCACAAAGGATACCAATAAAATCAGTATTGCATCAGATGGAGAGGCAAACACTTGTCTGAATTATTGACAGTTCTACTGACTTGCATTTGGATAAAGGACCAAATTGCTGGGTGCCTTATTTTGTCTAATAAGGCACCCAGCCTTATTTCTGTATAATGTAGGTAATTGCACTTTCCTTAGTCTTCATTTCAGCTTCATGAGCTGAAAAGTTATTATTATGTGGTGGTATGCTTCTTAAGTAGATTCCTTTTTTTCTTCCTATACTCAGGTAAAAATTATTCACTTGGTGAAAGATTAAAACATTAATTCAAGAAGATTAAAAGTTCTCATAACCTATTTTCAGTAATTTCTCATCTGTTTTCAAACTAGTTATATTTTTCAGATACTGACAATCATCAGTAAAACAGTGAAGAAAATAAGAAATTATCTGCTAAGTTAGTAAATGGAAGTATATAATGCTCATGTCCTGAATTAACAAAATGTTCATAGTGCATTGAAATGAGACTTAACATTTTCAAGTAGTCATTGAATGTCATTCAGTTATTGGAGTTTAATTTAATATTTTTCTTTCCACTTTCCTTTTTGGTACTCTTTTTTAACCTTTTTCATAGAGTATAAATCTTGTATTCCATTTTCATTAGTTGGTTTGTCTTTTAATGAGACTTAAGTACTTTAGAAAATATCCTTCAGAGTGTTTGAGAAGAAATTACTGTGTAGTTTGGTATTATTTCTACCTCAGCTGAAGTGCTTACTGAGTGCAATTTTGAGCTTCTTGATGAAAATTTGTGAACACAGGATTATTCTCTATAAATATTGTACATTGTTATATATTAATTAATATTTGTAAGTGTGCAAAATCTTTGTCATTAAAATAATCAACTAGATACAATTAAGACTTTTCTACCCTGATTCTTCCAAGTCATCTGTGAACACCTGAGAACAAATTTCAGTTGACATCCAGTCTCTCTTGGTTTAACTGTTTAATTTTGATTGTTACCATCTTCATTACAAGTTTTTGCATATAATAATAACTAATTATACTGGAGGGACGAGTGAAAGCTGGTTAGAATATAATGTGCTTGTGTCTTTAGCAGGGTGACAGGTGTACGTCCAAGAGTTCTTATAAAATTTAAAAACATTAATTACCTTTAGATCTAAATGTTATGCAAGAATTGTTGAGGTGTTTTATTTTGCTCTTGCATTTGAAGCTTTGAAAGAAGAAAGCTTTTTCTGTTGATCCTTTGCAATGCACTTAATAAATATATTGTATATTGTACATTAAACTATTCACAGGCACTCGTGTATCAGGTCAACAAAGCGTGGTGTATTATTGTTAATAAGTGTCAAGTCTCTTGTTTGAGAGTTTAAAACTGAATACGAAGCTAAAGCACCTTAATTATACTGTGATTTATTTTGGAGGAATTGAGTCTATTTTGTTTGGTTGACAGTTGTTTGGTCCAGAATTTTTGTGGAGACTTTTTGAAACAGAAGCTCTTTTAGTGAAGTTATGTTGGTTTTTTCTCAACATGTTATATAATATTATTAGGGAATTTCTTACACAAAGATTTTGTCCTTTGTTTTGTATAATTCACCTGGCACTTTTGCTGTTTTTTGTGAGAGAAATTATTTCAAAACTGAACCAGACTATCATTTAATTTCTCAATTGGTAGTCAGTAGTTTTCCTTCATCAGAATGTATTGCTTGTTGCCGTATGAATAATCTCTGACAAACCAGACTTAAACAAATAGTGTAAACATCTGATTTTTTTAGACAAATTATTATATTACACTGTTTATTTGCACTTTTTCTCACACAAATTGGAGACTATCTTTTTTTTTTTTTCTTTTTCATTTTCACCCACCATAGAATTCTTTTGTTTACTTGCATGGAAATTCTACATATATTCCTATCTCTACTTGTATTTTTGGGTACTTTGAGTTGTATGGTGTAGATATTTTTCAGTGTGATGGAAAGTCCACCATTGTTTTACCGATAGGGTGTAGAACAGATGTCTCTTTTCACTTATATCTCTTATAAAACTATTGTGTGCTTTCAATAAGTAATCTTTGTATTTCTCCCATTTTAGCCCTTCATTCCTGTGAAGGAATTGGAGCAATTTGACTTCGATATAAAAAAAATGCTTGAACCACTGGAGGTTGAAATTCAGCAGGGAGTGAACCTGAAAGAGGAGGACTTCAATAAAGATATGGTAATTTGGTTGAAACGGAAGTCTGAGCAAAGTAGGCAGGGAGGTGAAGAAACCTGAGTGAATATTCGAAACACATATTTGTGTTAGGATCTTTAGATATAACTTGGTCAAAATTTTACTATGTTAATATAGTATCAAATCAAAATTCCCAAATTAACATTAACTAAAATATTTAGTGCTAACTTAATTTCTAGCTTATCAGAAAAAACCACATTTTTGGACCCTTATGAAAACACTGAAGCAGATCAGGAATATTATCTATGGCTTGTATATAGTACCAGCAGTATTACAGAATAGAGAATGAATATTAAAATCTCTGTAGCAGCATGAAGGCCAAGGAAAGTCAGAATGATATATCTAAACGGGCAATATAGTAAAAGAATACTTTCACTAAAAATAAACACTAATCAAAAGAAATGCCACTTGCTACTTTGTTCTTAACCACTCTCCTTAGAGCATTTAATGTAAATAGTTTATGTGGCTGTGGTAAGCTTTACTACTCGTGTTTGCTCACTGCAAATAGTAAAACCATTTATGCATATTAGGGGGGAAAAAAGAGAAAAGAGAAGTAAAATACTGCTGTTCTTTGCTACTATTGCCATTGTGATATGTATTCTCCAAAGTGATTTTCAGAGGGATGACATTTCTTGGCTGTGCAATAATGGAGATTCATCTTTAGATCCTGCTCTTCATGAATCCTCAGCAAGATCAAATATGTATTTGTTTATAACCAATGTAAAGACTCAGTGTTATTTCCCTTCTAAGGAATTTCTCAAAGATGTCTATTTTATGTGAGTGCTGGAAGGAATCTTTGCAGGACTTTTTTTTCATTTATTCAGGAAAAATAACGTTTAAGGCAGCATGTACTGCAGTGGTAAATTCTACGTGAATCAAGTTTGAAGGGGCAATTTCCACTGCTTGAGCATATTTGGTTCCCTTTCTTTACATCAAATGTTTAATGTGGTGCAAGACACTCCCAGAAGCTGTGTCACAGATTCAGCTTCTACATAAAAAGTATTTAGCAATACCATTTTTCCTGCCAGAATAGCTGTTTTGCAAAGTGTTGATATATGGAATGGTCAGGAATTGCATGGTCTCCTGGTGTATTGGCACTTTCAATCACTACTGACAGTGATTTGGAATATTTTAGATATGTCTGTTCTTTTTGTTTTAAAGTAAAATGTATTTTACCTTTTGGCCTTTGATGTTTTCATCCTGTTATCCTGGATGCTGCATAAAGTCTAACATCAAACATCTGTAGGTTTTCAGTGCTCATCCCTCAATAGGCTAAATGTGTTGTAGAAGCAAGTATAAGTGCTCGATCTTCAAGAACTACAAGTAGCTGTTACAAAGGAAAGGTGTTTTTGTATGTCTGTATCTCCTAGTACTTAAGTAATAGTTAGATTAAGATGCACATTATTTTGGTTATTTTTTCAAATCAGAGTGAAGAGGATGAGAGCACAGTGAAAGAATTGCTGCAGAGGGGCGACAGGCTTCAAAAGGGAATCACAGATGAGAGAAAACGTGAGGAAATAAAGACAAAACAACAGCTGTTACGGACTAAACATAATGCCCTCAAGGTATAGGAGCTACAATTATAAGCACATGCTACTAAAACCATTTTTGTCTGCATTTCAGGGCATTGTTTTTTAAATGAGTCTTTATTCCTACTTAGAGATGAGTAACTTAAAATTATTTGGCTATAAATATATTTTCTTATGCAGTTCTCTTGATGTCTTGCAAAAGGCATTTTACAGTCTCCAGCTTAAGAAGTCCTGTCTTATCCATCGTATAACAATTCTGTGATTGCCACTTGGACAAAAATGATTGCTTTGATAATCCCTTTTTTAATATATTATATGTGTTTTATATTTCTCCAACAGCAGTCAAGACTGAATCAGTTGTCACAAACTTATATTCTCAATTGCATAACATACTTCTGGCCATGAATGAATTGGTTTCTTCTTTAATAAAGTATTTACACACTACAGTCTTTAGTTACAAGGATGGCTCCATCCCCTCTAGAGCAGAGCGGGTGGTAGTACCAATAGACCGAGCAGCTAAGAGGTTCAAAACCAAAATTGCATATGAAAATTCTGTGTTGCCACAATTCTGGAGGTATAACTGTATGGTGGTGTTCCTGAAAACACCCGTGGTGAGACCCATTTGGACCAGCTAACAGGAGTAATTTGAAGTGTTGTCCTTCCATGGAAAAGTAAAAGTGAGGAAAGATAGAATCTTGCAGTTGTAGAGTCACCTTGGTCACTTACCTGAAGTTATGGGCTCTGGCTACTATAGATGAATTTTTATCTCATCAGCAAGCACAATTTTTCTTTCGTTTGATAATTTTGATTAAATTGTCTTTGGTTTGGGGAACACAGCATGTTTACGTTTTATTATTACTTATTTTTAAGCAGCCTCTTTCCTGTGGATTTCTTTGTAATTCTTACAATTTTGCAGATCTGTGTAAATTCAGGAGCAGGATAGCTGGAATATACTATTGTTTTGTCCATATTTAAAAGAACCTTGAAATCTATTGGGTGTATCTTTGACTGTTCCAAGCTAAATGGAAGCAATTCATAACTTTTATGTTGGAGAAACAAGAACAATATTTCTAGCTCTATGCTATTGACCAGATTCTTGCTGGCTGTTTTTATGGAATAGAGTGATAGATTTTTCCTTTGGGTGACTCAGTTAGGGCATTCACCCTTGTCAAATAAAATTCAACAATTGTTGAGGCAAATTCATTTGAGAATTTTTGTATAAAATGTACCATTAATTTTCAAATTTCCTTCTTACTAAGAAGTTACAGTAATTAAAATATTTTCTCAATTCTCTGTGAGCAAAGTTAAATGGCTGAAGCAAACGTGTCTTTAATAGCATTTATAGGGGGGAAAAAACATACATTTTTTACCTTCCTGCTAAAGAGAAGTTTTAATACTTTATAAAGTGGAGTTATAAACACAAGACATTTGTAATATACATGGTATTTAATTTAGAAAAAGGAAACCTGTTTTTGCATATATTTCTGCATTGCAACGACTTTCATTTGAATAGCTACAGAGTTTTATGCAGGCTAGAAATTCACAGGAGACCGCAAAATACAGAAGCCCCACTTTTGGCTAGATACTAAGTGGGCTGTGTTTCCATCTGTCCAGTAAGTATTCTGAGCAGAAGTGTTTTATATAAAATATTGACATTTATGTAAGAGTCTTAACTTCTTTGAATATCGGTGACTGTCTCAGTAGTTTATTCAACATGTGAACAAAGCTGAATTAGGTAACGTCCTTTAAAACAAACAAACAAAAATTGTTGAACTGATGAAAATATGTTCAATTACTCATATACTTGATTTATATATCAAAATTTAATTTAAAAAATTAGTCTCCTTGTACACTTTTTTTCCCTGCAGTGTGCACACATGCCAATTCATATTTTATAAGCCTTTAATTCATATTCTAATAATGTCTGCACTGTGAACAGGACTTGAGATCTCAAAGAAGAAAAAAGGCTTTAGAGATTTCTCATCAGTGGTATCAGTACAAGAGGCAGGCTGATGACCTAATGACATGGCTGGATGACATTGAGAAAAAGTTAGCCGGTCTACCAGACCAGAAAGATGAGCAGAAGCTAAAGGTAATGTTGTTTTGGGTTGGCAATGGTAGATATTTTTGAGTGATAGTTTGTCAATTCATCAGAAAGCAAATGCAACAAACAATAATATAGATATAGAAAATTAACAGTTCTGTTCTTATTTCTATTTACAGTAAAACAAACTATGTTCAAACTGGCATTTTTTTGTTGTACTATATTTTGTATTTGTTTGTTATACAGAATGTTATATAAATAATTTGAAACACACTAAATATAATGTTTTATCAGTAATACAAAAAGTGTGCAATGTATTAAGAAGCATCAAATGTTTTCTAGTAAAAATTGTAATTGATTTTATGTATCTTTGTTCCAGATGAACAAATGACTTACCGATATATGGATGACCTCTATCTCATGTTAGCACATTCATTTTCATCAGAACATACTCATATGTCACTGTCAAACTCTATAGATTTATTTACATACTGTCAAAGGTTTTCCTGGTTTATTTTACATCGTCTTTCTTTGCTTCATTCTCTGTTGAGTTTCCCACAGAGTAAAATAGGAGTTAACTAATACATTAAAGAGTCTAATAATACATTTGTAAGCTGTTCGAACGCTATTTGTCCTCAATATGCTGACCCTTATTGAGAAAATAATTTTTCCAATTGCCCATCCCAGTGTACTAGCAAGAATCTGAACATGGAGACTGTTGGCCTTTGCTAACAGTTTCAGAGAATACTAGCAGTTAGTATCTCTACAGCCCATCTCCAAGACGGTTCTTCAATTTCAGTTATCTTTGTTTTGTTTAAATGTAAATTAGGATACGAAATAGCTGTAAATTTTAATTGTAACAATAAAATGGAAATGGATTTTCTGACAGAAGTATTTTGCTAATTTCAAGTTGATTGATCTAGTTAGCTAACTGTCCTGGGCCCTGTATTGGTTTTGCTCACTAGGAGATTGGTGGAGAATTGGAGAAGAAGAAGGAAGATCTGAATGCGGTGCACAGGCAGGCTGAACGCTTGTCTAAGGATGGGGCGGCAAAAGCAGTGGAGCCAACCCTGATACAGCTCAGCAAGCGCTGGCAAGATTTTGAGAGCAAATTTGCTCAGTTTCGAAGACTCAACTATGCACAAATTGTGAGTTGTTACTGGCAAACCCATATGTTTGCAACTGCTACTACTAACAGCATCCTACTAACAGTGAGAGCTTCAGGGTCAGTGTCAACTCTTCAGATATTAATAAGAAAAACCCTATTGTCTGCAAGTGGGGGAATCTTTATATACTCTAATACAATAGTGCTCTGCTTTTGTCTTAAAATTGCCCTTAAGTTAAATCAGTCAATTACAAAAAACTCAGCAATGAAAGATTTGTGTTTATTTCTGTTGCCTCATTATTTTTCCATAACATTTATCAGTTTAAAAACGTTAGTTTGCCATGCATCTATTTTGTTCACTGAACATATAGAACACAAAAATTGTCTTTTCCAAACTACCCATCCCACGCCAATTTTAATTGTTTTTTTTATTTGTCCATAACATGTTATACTCACTTAGGGAAGTGACTTGAAAAATTCTTATGACTCTATATATACATGGCCTCTTCTTCAAATACTTGAATTCTCAAAGAAGTTTTTTGTAAGAAAGTGTACTTTTCAATTTGACAGGTTAAAAATATAATTTTATGAACCATCTTGATGTCTTCTGATTTGTTTAGTTGTGTATAAAATATAATTATTCTTACTTGTTTATAAATGCTGCAGTAACTGGATAAATAAAAGGGAAATTGTCACTATTCCAGATTTATGATCAAAATATGTATTCAGTGTTACCCATCTAGAAGGTTACCAGATGTTGCTTTTGCACTTATAAGGTTTTTCTTTGCTATTCCTACTACTCTGCTCTTTGTCTTCTGCGCTTTACGAAGAAAGATGAGACCTGCTCTCAAGGTTTTATGTTCTTTTCTGTAATCTTAAGGTGCTAGTGGATAAAGAGTGTTTTATCAAAATATAATTTTATTTATTTATTTTTAAATGCACCTAGATTGCAGAGAAAACATACTGAGAGGATAAAAAAAAACAAACATGAAGTGTTGCTTTTAACTACCTGATAAAGTACGCTTTAAAAAAATGAAAAAAAGTTCCAAAAATCAGCATTCTGTATAACCTTTTGAGAAATATATTCCTCTATATAATGTACCATATTGTGTATTTTTACCTTTTCTAATATTAAGTTAAATAATGTATATGTAAAACTAATACTTTGGACAGCTATGCAGTTAATGGAAACAATCAGAGAAACATTAACTTTTATTTGTATGTTATTAAATTTTGTTCCATCTGATTACACTCTTCAGATTACTATGGTTTATATTAAACTTGATGGATGTAATCAGGTGCAAATTGTTTATATTGACATGGAGCTAGAGCAAGCCTTGTAAATGAGTTGGCACTTTTTTTATAATGGATATATTTGCTCCTTTGATAAGCAAGTAAGAGATCAGATTGTGCATGCGATTTGTATAAAAACATTCGGCTGTCAATGTGCTTTTTATGTTACCCACCACCTACCATGACAGGGGATGAATATATCCATTATAAAATTTTACTAGCAGATCAATAAACTTTATATTAGCATATTTTTCTATAAAATATGTAAAGTAGATACATCAGCACATGTGGTTTTTAATTCCTCAGAGGAATACACTAATCAACTTTTTAAACTCATGTAACCATTACATGTATTTATAGTGTTAAAATATATAATTTATATACTATATAACCCTGTAAGGTTAAGTTTTTAAATATTCTCTAATATTCCATGCAAGAAGGCTACTTGTTAGAATTTGTCTAGGGAATAAGGTCATTCAATGAAAGTTACGTGTACACAGAACAATTACTGTATCCTTCTCATTTCTCATGGAAAATATATTGCTCTTTTGACAATGACTGAGATGATATTCATATGAAATATTTTGGAATTTTTACAGAAACTATTGAAACTTGAGAGGGGTAGTGTATTTTCATGACTAAAATCAGAGTGAGAAGTGCAATAACCTGTTGTTATTGTTTTGACTTTGGTGAATCAGTGAAACAGATAATTTCTCAAGGGTTTGTTGTTTTTTTTTTTAAACAGCTTAAATACCTACCTCACAGGGATGTTGTGAGGATTCATTAGTTGTTTGTGAAAGATTTTAAAATACAAAAGAAAAATGAAAATTCAAACTATTCATTTGAACACATGCATATACCAGCAAAAATACCTTCCACAGAGATTTTCTATGTTAACTACCAACTGAATAAAACCATATAATAAAAATACAAACTGATTTTTTTCTTTAAAACAAAAGACAGCTGCATTTTCATTTATAATTAATGTTGTATTCAATAAGTTATTTAACAACTGAAGGTTGATAATAGAAATCAATGAGATATAGTTGTACTGTATATCTTGCAATCTATTATGCTTCATTGAATAAACATAGCAAGACTGCACTGAAGAGAACCTTCAATTATGTTGCTTGTTGACAGATTTCCATTTCTTACCTTTGTTGGAGATAATATATTTTTGATATCAAAGTGTGAAATTAAAATTATCATTCTCCCCTGGATTTTACTTTTCCCCGATATTTGTTGGGAAGACCTGTCAGAAGGATCTAGAAACCATGACCTTCTAAGAATTTATTCTCTCTATCATGGTCGATTCTTGTAAAATCCTGATTGTCTTACAAATAAGTAGCAGTAAATATCCAACAACTAATTGACCAATATATGGGTGCATATTTATAAAAAGGAAATTTCTGTCACCAGTTATATTGAGATGCATTTATATTACCTCAAACAGTTTAAAGACATTTTTGAGACCTTAATCAATTTGGTGTAGTGTTCCTCAATGTGAAAATTGTCACTGAGTAACAGGAAATTCAATAAGGAAAAAGGTGGGTTTATTGCTTTCACAGATTAAATACGGTACACAAGCACATAAATGCAACTGCATAAAACCCAAAATGACACTGAGTCGAAAAAAAATTTGGTGTTCTTGTTGTCTTGCAAGATTCTTCTCTCATAGAGAGTCTTTATTCATATGTGGCAAAATAAACAGTTGGCAGAAAATTCAGATTTTCAGTCAGGCAAATTTATAATTTCTGTTCTAAGACAAGTTAGATGTTCTACTTCATTTCAGCTAAAAATTTCCATTTGAAATCAGTTTGTAGTAATTTCAGTTGTGAAATCCAAATAACTTACTAAAGAGTGCAATATTTTACCATAAAATTATGATTAACCACTGAATCCCTTTGAAGTTCATGAAAGTTTAAGGTACTTTTCAAATAATAAGCCATTAAAGTTTAATCCTGGAGCAAAATGCAGTTTTTGCATATTAAAATTGCACATCTATTAAAAAAATCAAGAAAAATTGTAACATTATAGAGGTTAACGGACATTTATTTCTAAAATTTCTCTGCAAGATCTGAAATCATTAGGCCTTTACAGTCACACAGTATTTGCAGAAAAGTTGTCGATTCCCTCTGCTACAGTCTAAACCTCTAAAAACAGTAACTTAAAAATCTTTCAGTTACTATTTTTCAGCAATAGTTTATGCCACTCTTCCAGGGTGTTGACAATAGTTATCTGTTGCAGAGGAAAAAACTAGATTCAGAGAGTTTAATTCAAGTCAGGATCAAAATCAGTTATTATGTTGATTACATTTAATTAAATTAGCTTTACTTGATGTCTGTTTTATAGAATTTTTTTTCCAATACTTTCATTGCATAAGTCTATGAACATGTTTGTATCGTGGCTCAGTTTAGATTTTCCTGAGCTGACTGAAATTACTCTGAGTGTGGAGTACTGAAGGCCTTTATCGTGAGAAAACATTTTCTAGATCAACACAAGTGCAGAGCCTACGCTGTAAATTCTTACTTCATATGTCCTATTACCATATTTTATCAAGCTGTTCAACATTCTTTCTGAAGTTATATATGGTGGACTTTTAGTTTTCCTCTCTCAGCTGAACTATGAATGCTGTAAATAGTAAGCCAGAGTATTTTTAGGACAACAGAATCGCTTGCAATCTGTCAAAATTATGTATCTATGGATGTATATACAAGGAAAAAGATAGGCTTATCTAAGTCATTTCAGTAATTTTATTACACACAAACATTCTATTGAAATTTATGGTCATTTTACTAGTGAAATATTGGGGCCTGGATTTTGGCCATACAGAGAAAGATATTAATATTGACCAAATGATAAACATCAGGAGACACTGTCCTTTTCATACCAATTAGACTTTGTATTGAACAAAAATTAATAAGGAAAATAGTTATACAAAATATGCATTTATTTTTATAAGGTAAGTGATTTAGTCTGAGCAGTTTGATAGCTGCCTGCAACATGGATAAAGTACCAGCACTCTTAGTACTTACTATGAACTAACATAAGCTTCATTTTTCCAAATAAAAGACATTACTTTGTTTAAGATTCTGTAAAGCATTCACAAATTCAAAATGCCTGTTTCTCAACTGGATGAGGAATTCAGGTGAGAGAGTACATGATCAACTTCTGGAACCAGATTAAACTGGTAAAGTTTACATATGAAACTCAAGAGTTTGTTAAAGTTCAGTATTTTAAGGGCATCTTACAGTTTTCAGTTAAAATTTGCCTATGGGACTCTATTTAGTCAATTTAATTAAATTTTTTTAACTGTTAAAATATGTTTATCAAAATATTTTATAAAATATAAATCAATCATTAATTTAAATAAATCTATGACAGATAAACACAGGACTTGATGTCCTTATTATCTGTCTGCATCTAATTAAAATGGATACTTCAGTGGCAATGTGCTACCATTGTTTTCAGTTGTTGTATTCCGTGGTTCTGACAATCAGCAGCATTGTAACAAAGTGGTTTTCTTCTCTTATCCCTGCTTAAATGTTTCTTGGGTTAACTAAAGGAATAATAGTTGCCACGAAGAAGAGGCAGACTAATTCTTCTTTATTCCTAGAATGAGTGTGAGAGAGATATATAAATGAGATATAAGTGAGAGAAAAGACATTAGAAGAGCAAAATAAGAAAATATCTATTGGACAAAAGAAAAGAACTATACAGTGATGGATTAGTATCCAATTCACCTATGAG